TACCCCCCCGTCCCCCCCCCTCCCGCCCCCCCCCCCCTCGTCCCTTTTCCAGGTTCCTCTTTCTGTTTTTCTCGACACAAATCTCTCTCTCTCTCTCTCATACTCTATTTATCTATCTGCCCGTCTGTCTCTCCGTTGCACCGACTCGCGGCTGGCGCGTGTTCGCGAGAGGCGCTAAAAAGCCCGGAGACTCGACGAGGCTCTATCGGGGGAAACGCGGCACCCTGACCCGATTGAATAAAAACCGCCCGCCCGCGCCGCGGCGTCTGTCATTCACACATTCCGAATCGCGACACGCATAGCGCGAGATTTCTAGGAGATTTTTCTGATCGCGGTATCTTTCCGTTACCGCGAGAGCGGCGGGCTTGCTTTTATCGATCGACTTTGCGGTCTCGTTTTTTCGAAAGCGCTCGCTTAAAAAATTTTAAAAAGCTCCAGCGAGGAACCATTGTTCTCGATGTTTTTCTTTCCTTCTCTCTTTCTTTCTTTCTTTCTTTCGTAGCGCCGCCCGACTGAACGAAGAGACAAATCGAGCGTCAAAGAATACCGTATATTACGTTAAAGAGACAGATTTTTCGGAAATGCGAATCTCGAGATTGCGCAAATATTTCGGGAGCATGTTCGCCCCTCGCGGAGCTGTGCGCATCCTCCGGCGTAGGACGAGACAAAGATGCGTACTCTCCGCGCGTGCAAATGTATTCTAGAATCTAGAAGAAAAGCTCTATCGTCTCTAATCTTTCTTTCTTACTTTTTTTACTTTTGCTCTTGGACTTTTCTTATATTTATATTTCAAATTCTAACCCATATCGAGTGGCGCTCAAAGAGATCTATCCCAGAGAGCATAATAAACGTTCTCTGTCCTCTTCCCCCCTGCCCTCTCTCTCTCTCTCTTTCTCTATCGACGCTCCTGATGGTTCGGATGGTTCGGACGGACGGTTGGTTTGAAAATTGCGCGAAGCGATCTTACCTTCGCAGATGTACCCCTGCTGTATGAGGCCCCAGAGCATGTCCGTGCAGCTATGGCAGTACGTCGGTTTGTGAAACGTTTTCTTACTGAAGCTGTGCCCATGGCTGGCTGGAGTCTCGGCCGAGACCGACGCCATATTCCCCGTTCCACCGCGGAACCGTTCACGCCAGATTTTCACCGTGAAGCTACGCAGGGCGCGCCGCGCGACGATGACAACAACATAATTACACGCCCGACACTACGTGATCTCGGAACCGTACATAATTGCGCTGCTGCAGCTGCTGCTGCGATGGTGGTGACGGTGATGATGATGGTGGTGGTGGCGGTGGTGGTGGTAGTAGTAATAGTAGCGATGGTAGTAGTAGTAATTGTTGTAGTAATCGTCGTGGTCGTAGCTGACCGCAGCACGTCGCGGATCCACCACACGTCGCACGGGTCCCACGGGTCGCACCGTCGTACCGTCGTCGTCGTCCCGTCGTAACGCGGCGCCTCGTCGTCGTGCTAACGTCGTCGTGCCTAACGCGCATTATTCCACGAGCTGCGCCTCGGGACGGGCGACGCGCCGGCAACAGCCACGATCGCGCGCGCCAGATGCGTCGTCGCCGTCGTGAAACGTCGCCGCCGATCCACCGCCGATCGTCGTCAATATCTCGCGGCCGCCGCCGAGCATCACCGTCGTCGTCGTCGTCGTTGCAGCTGCTCCTCCTCCTCCTCCTCCTCCTCCTCTTGTCGTCGTCGCTGCCGCCGCTGATACTGATACCGACACCGATGCTCTTCTTGTCCTTCTTCTCCTTCTCCTCCTCCTCCTCCTTCTCCTCGTCGTCGTCGTCGTCGGCTATCTCGCTCACCGTCTCGTTTACGGTACGACGCCGATGCGTGCGGTATCGCGTTCGCGCATCCAACGAGTCGCCGCCACCGCCGCCACTGCTGCTGCTGCTGCTGCTGCTTGTGCTGATGCTTGTGCTGCTGATACGAGCGAACGCCGCCGAGTGGCCGCACTGACATCAGCCCCTTTTCGTCACCGCCACCGGCCAGTGGCGGATGCGCTGCCCTAGCGGCCTAAGTGGGGCGTCATACGGGGGCCGAATCATCCGAGCCGCCCTCTTCCGAGCGCGAAGAAGCTGTCAAGGGCGTGCTCTCCTCTCCTCTCTCCTCTCTCCTCTCTCTCTCTCTTTCTCTTTTGCCGATTATGTTCTCACGTATAAACATAAATTGCGCGACGCTTCGTTACCCGAGGAAAGTAGGCCGTTTTCATGTTTAACGATTTTTTTTTTTTTTTTCTTCTCGAAATATCTTTCCACTCCCTCTGTCTATACTCGTCGAGGACGTACGTGTTTCGAGAGAAACGATACACGCGCGAATCCGGGGGAATTTTCAAGTCCGCGAGAAATAAAATTTCTACAGGGACGAAAGAGTCTTTCTCCAGCACTGACGGTGACGATGGCGAGGGACGACGGAAACGGTGCGCGTATTTCCTCGTCGCTTCTCGCGACGCACCAACGTCTCTTCGTTACGTCTATAATTTTCAATATCTATTTCCGACCTATCTCTCTCTCTCTCTCTCTCTTTCTCTCACTCGTATTTCGTCGGCTTGAACCAAAGTCCAAATGTCCGCGACGTTCGACGTCGCTTCGAACGATGACGTCGATTACGCGAGGAGCACGAGTTAATCGGCGACACGCGGATCCAATATTTTCCCTCGTCCTTTTACCGGACGAAAGCTAAACGACGCGATTTTCGATCACATCGCTCGCGAGCGATATCTCCCGATTGATATCCCGACGACTAGCGCGCGTCTCCGCTGTCGCCGTCGACGCGACGCGACGCACGCGTGTACGCGTATTAACGCGGATTGTTATTGTTTCACACGCTCGCGCGCCATCGTACGTCTATCGCGATCGTCGTTAACCCCGTTAATCGAACGTGAAATTAACGCACGCGATCGGGACGATGCCCGACGTCGACGGCAGTACGACGACGGCGATGGCGTCGACGTCAGTGAGAGGAGCCGCCGACGCGACGTCGACGTCGCTTTCCGCCTCGGCGCGCCGACGCGCGACCCCCGTCCCCGTCCCCGTCCCCGTCCTCTTCCTCCTTCCTCGCGCAACGCGTTCGAATGCCGCCACTCGGTGCACGGTGGACTCCGCCGCTCGTCAAAGCCGCCAACACTCTATATATATTTTTATATATATATATATACAGATCCTTTTTTATAAAATCCCCTCGTTACAACGTGCGCGCTTTTGCTACGATTTAAAACCGATATTCACCAATGACGGTATAATCAGAGTTAGATAAATAATCAGGCTCTCAATCTCGTTCTTCTCGGAAGTCACTCTCTTTCCAACACGCACTTGTCTGCAACTTAGTATTGTGTTGCAAATTTATTTATTTGTTTTTTTTTTTTTATATATCAGGTGTCTACTCAAATCTTGTAAAAAAATTTCCTGAAAATTCCGATCTTTTAGGCATCTTTATTCAAATCTTGCGATGCATTTGATTATCAGGTGGAGCGCGCTCGAGGGGATGCAGTCTTGAAACACTGGATAAATAATAATAATAATAATAATAATAATAATAAAAATAATACTACGAGATGTTGGTCACGTCGTACGACTTTACCAATTTACATTTTCGTTCGTTATCCTTTAAACACGGATATTCTTCGAGTTTGAGATACCTTCACCTATATAATCCCGCCTCGTCGCTTCCGATCTTTCTTAGCGCGCGGATAAATCGTAAATAAAAAGGCGACGCGGTGTATAGGTATACAAATACAAACCGCGCGATACAGAAAGCGAAGCGTTCCATTTAATCGTCGTCGTCCTCTCGATAATGGATGCTGCCTATTATCGTCGCGACGCCCGTCGTCGCATTGTACTATACATCGGGGCGCATTCGTGATACACGTCCGGGATATGCGATTGCATATACGACGTTACAATGCGAATCGCGGGAGTTGCGGCGGACGCGGGATTTTTCAATAACGGAAACACACACGCGAGGGAGGAGAAGAGGGGAAGAGGAAAGGAGGGGGAGTGGCACGCATTTTCACATCGCTGTCACGTCCGTTGTATTCATTAAACCGTCTGCCGCACATGGCTACATTGATGGACATTATGAAGTTATATCTCGCCGCGCGCGGTTCTATTGTGTGATCGAACGTGAATGAAACGGGGTTTAAATTTCAATAACTGTGCACGCGCGCGCGGGAAGGGAGGGGGAGGCGCGCTAAATGTGATTGCATCTCTCCAACTATATTCATTATTATAAACTACTGTTATAATCATGCGCACGCATCTAAATTATATACATATTTTTATATATACGCGCGACGCGCGTGTTAGAAAGGTATTATTAAAATAAATAATAAAATTAAAAAATTAAAGGAGGCTCGAATAATAAATATCAATAAGAAGAGAAAGGAAAGGCCAATATACAACCCCGAACGCAATAATTATAGCGTAGTAATTAAATATTATTTTGTTAAACGATGTTAATACGTATATAATATAAAATTAATCATACGATTCGGCCCACTTCGGGTCCTTATTAATGATATCACATAATAAAAAAACTAAGCGTAAACAAATAACTCTGAGATATCATTAATTTCGATGACAGGAGTGCTGGCTTGCTCTCCTCTTTTTGCCTTTCAACTTTGCTATAAGAATTTTGAAAAAAAACAAATATGCCTTCTCTCTCTTAAATATTATAATATAAAATTAAATGTAATTAAAAGTATGACAAAAACGCATTAAACCTTATCAGACTATGCATCGAAGATTAAGATTGAAAATTGAAATTTTATCTTCTTTTGTTGTAATTAGTCAAATTCTAATCTTTAGTCTTCAATCTTTAATGCATTTCCCAGGGAGATATTCGTGCATTTTATTTTTGAACGGAAATAGTTTCGCGAGATTATTCGATAATGATAATAATACAGACAATTAATGTATCGTCTGTTTTTATAGATTTTATTTTTTGTGGACGGAGCATAAAGCATCGTCTTTTGTGTCAATGCAACATTTGGTCTTAACATAATACATATTTCACATTCTTAACATCGATAAAGTCTTATTCTACAGTCCTATCGTTTCATCAAACATCAGCATGTATGTAAGGGGTATAGAGCAACAAAGATAACTTATTAACTATTTTTGATTCGCTTCCAATAAAATATGTACACGTTGTGTCGCTTCATATAATTCAAGAGCTTAAATGCAATCGAATGTGACATTTACGATTGTATTACGCAGATCAATTATGTAATTACAAAGTGCAAGAGGATAATGTCCCTTGTTAGTTGCAGTCTAATGAACATATTAGATTGTTGCATAAACATGCTTTGACGATTACATAATGAAAAATAAAAGATACAATGTAAAATAGAATTAAATTGAGAATAGTTTTCAATGTATTATCGCGTATTAAACGCCTTATCTTACTGTTGACATTCATATACCTATATGTATATAATATAACACATCCCGCTTAAGTTGTAACAGATGGATATAATATATCTCAAAGTATTTTTTATATCATGTAACATTATACTCTTCTCTCTCTTTTTTAAATTCAATTTTTATATTACGATAACAAAACAAAAATTATTTTAATATATATATATATGTATATGTAAAAGAGAGAGATTGAATAAAAAAGATATATATATATATCACTTATGTAAAAAGAAATATTTAAAGAGAAATATTTGCGTTTATTAATAACTTATTTTAAATGAAAATTTATTTAAACATTTAGAAAACACAGCTATTTGTTGAATACCTTAGCGGGATTTGAATATAAGTTCAATAGGTTCAATATTTATCATGTTATCCGATATGTATAGGGTATTTATATGTATATATGATAACATATATCGTATATAAATGTTACACACAGGCGAATATTTAGAAATACGCTTAACTTATTGTCTGATTTTTAATATGAAAAAGTACTTTGAACGCACAAATCGAGATCTTCAATTTATACATATTTGTATACCTCAATTACACATTTTACAACGGTGCAAATATTTATGTTACAAAATATCTCGTTTAATTTCAACAACTGTATTGGATACGAAAATCGTATTACATTTATACTCTTACATTTTGCTATACGTATACATGCTTCAAGCATCATAAAAATACACGATATGATAAGATGTAACTTTTTAATAAGAATACAGGAGGGAGGGGTGGGGCATATATACCCATATACGTTGCATTAAAATTTTCTAATAAACCACTTCCAAGTAACTGAACCTAACTAAAGTTTGTTCAAAACTTGTATCGCTATCACACCCGTATGCGATATAATATAATTATATTAAAATAAATGCTAATCATAAGATAATAAAATATATTCTTTAACCCTTAATTGTGTGCGTGTGCCGCGAAAAGTCGCATATCTTGTGAAATCATAAAGAAAATTATACATAAAATCATTCATCATAACAAAACATAATAAATATATATATTTTAAGAATTTTTTCTAAAACAATCAGATTTATTTAGCATATTGTATGGAAAACAGTCTAAAATATATTTGTTATTAATGGCAGAATATGAGCAATGTGGAGCAATATAATGTGATAGATTCAAGATATTCGGCTGTGCAAGAATTTTTACGAAAACTGAAATAGAAGCACACAAATAGAACAGCATTGTCCGTGCGTTCTCTGACGGGACAAAAATTCATAAGCGTTATAGAAGAAGGAAGAGAAAAAAAAGCAAAGAATTTGCGAGAAGAATGAAATCTCTCCTAAAATGTAAATTGAAACGATCTTGTTTTTTCTTTACAAATGAATAACTGATAAATGCAAACGATTGCATGTTAAAACTTACATAAGATTCCACTATACATAGTTAAGAGTTAAAAACAATACACAGCTACATTATTATAATTTTTCTAAAAAGTATTAATACTTCTTAACGATCCTGGATCCGCGCATCAGGATAAAAAAAAAAAAAAAAAAAAAAAAAAAAAAAAAAAAAAAAAAAAAAAAAAAAAAAAAAAAAAAAAAAAAAAAAAAAAAAAAAAAAAAAAAAAAAAAAAAAAAAAAAAAAAAAAAAAAAAAAAAAAAAAAAAAAAAAAAAAAAAAAAAAAAAAAAAAAAAAAAAAAAAAAAAAAAAAAAAAAAAAAAAAAAAAAAAAAAAAAAAAAAAAAAAAAAAAAAAAAAAAAACACAAGAGTCGGTAGTAGACATGCAATCTTTTTTTAGCGAAATTTTAACCGATAAATTTAATCCGATCTGATAAATTTAAGCGATTTAAGATCGACAGCCTATAAGATCGCACCGTTGAACGGTTCCGTTCATTCGACAAACATTTAGAAAAATCTTAACAATTATATCGAAATATGGCAATGAAAAATATGTTATGTAACTCTATAAACTGACACAGATGACTGCGTAATAATAACGCGACATAGTTTAGCAGAGTTAAATCATATACAGAGAGAAATTTATTCGGTTTAAGCCAAATTGCAGCCAACGTAATTTATGTTAGTTAAATTTATAGTTTTCATTGTCATTGCATTTTAATACTATTTTCGTGACTTTAATTTTTTAATCTCTTTCAAGACTATTGACGCTTGACAAACTTTAACATTCGCTAATGAGTCTTTATCATCCTTAAAGAATATATGTTAACTACCGATTCCCATCTTTCTCTCCGTCACAGTCTACTTTTTAATTTCAACTAGAGTATATCCTTATTATTACAGATTACATATATCCGATTTCTTTTTCTAATATTGGTTAAAAATGTATGCAGACACTCTTATAGTAGCATATCTATATTTCAAATTTAAGGAAACACATCCGGGATTTCATTAACGATATATTATGTAATACAGAATATACGATATTTAATTAACAACACATTTTGTATCTCGTAACAAGAGTGATTGTGTATAAATAAATTATGTCTCAAAAACACTTGATATGAAAACGCTATATTTTATGTAATAATATGTAATTTTATCTCCTCATAACATTATATAGAATTTTCATAAAAATTATCTCCTGTTATGTGCAAGAAAAGGAACAAAAAATGGGATGTGAAGAAAGAAGGAAAATTTGAAAATGTTACGTTGATAATCTCAAAATATCCGTTTTTTCATTCAATAAATAGAGCCTACAGATTTTCAAACCGTGTACAACAATTATGTGGTGTCGCTTTAGAGAGATGTAACTACTTAAAATCAAAGAAATTCCTAACTAAAAAAATATTAAAACCTCTCTCGGATTTATATATTGCTGACATAATTGTTAAAATAATAAACTTGATAACTGTATATGTGTATCTGCACGCAAAACATTCATATGTATATATAGCCTTTTTCTAAACTCTGCATTTCTTAAAACAACAAATATGAATCGCATAATGTAAATATGAAATGGAATAAAACATAATTGTGGGAATGTATAAACTTACGACAAAGTACGCCAAAGTATTGTTTTTTAAAGAATATTATCCCAATCCATGATCCTCGAAGAATCCCTGAGGAGTCTCCTCCTGTAACACATACAAGGGAATAAGTTCATCGACATCATGCTCGAGAATCTCTAACAAATAATATGAACAGGGATCAATTACTTTGACGCTGCACTTTATAAACACATTACGAAAAAAGATAGAATGAGGATATATTTATATATATATATATATAAACGTACACGTACCTACTGCATAATAAAATTCTCTTCTTGATGCAGCTTCAAATGGTGAACTGAACCCTTTTCATATAACCAAGTGACTTTACTCGCGTGAGCACACAAAGCACATGTTTATTTATTGCCTCGATTGAAATCTTAAGCGCTAAGAAAAAATTGCCTATTTTACATGCAACGTGTCAAATTGCGGAATATCCTCCACGCAAGATGGGACAAGGATGGATGCGATATTCGGCTCAATATGCTCATACCGCGCGAGACAGCTTATATAACAAGAAATATCCAGCTCAAAAAAAATAGCTAACAAAAAATTGTTTCGCGAATATATCTGTTTCTTAATAAATTAACTTCGACAACGAAAACTCTTGAGACGCTCGAGTCGAGTGTATTATCTCCATCTGAGATTTATGTTTGTTTAACTGATAACATAGACTAATAACAGACAAGGTATTGTATACGCGCTCGTTTTCAATTACAATGTAAAAATTTCGTACGATATATTTATTACTAGACTTACATTTAATGTATAATTAATTATACATTACGAATTATTTGTTAGAATTAAAATAGTGTTTTTAAGTAGATAGATAGAGATACGTAAGAAATATATATTCTATATGTAATAATCGCCTAAATACCGACGCACTTCAGTATAGCATATGTGTGTACAACGCTTTCATAAAAATAACTTACGAAAATACAGAATAATTTTATTGCCACAGTTGAAGATTAAAGTACGTTGGGGTAACTGTCGTCGCTTATTTATCAAGATGTACCTTAAAAGTTATGATTAAGGTTTAAAAACTATAGATCAGCCTTTGGTTAGTAACATAACATTTTGTTTTACACGCAAGAGACGACTTTTTTTTCTCGATATAAAAATATATTAACATATACAGAGAATGCTCCAAGTATCGTGCACATTTTCTCTCGATTATAAGCATTAAAAGTTAATAAATTAACTAATTGTAAGAGGAGTATACTATTTGCTCCAAATAATGAATTTGCGAATCATAAGTAAATAGTCGATTTTTCGCATTTTCTTTAAATATATTTTTCTTTAAATGGATTGTCAAGCTTCTAAATAGATTAAAGTAACTTTATACTTTATTTGATTTAAACCTGTATGTATTTTGATCAGAGACAGAGTTTCGATTGTCACGATATTATATATATTTCATATTGACAATCAACAGCTTCAAATAAAAAAAAAGTTTCTTTCGATTTTTCTTTATCAATCCCCAAATCAAATTTTTTATCATGCAGAAAGATAGACTTATCGTCAAAGAGCTTATAGTCGAAAGAAAATGCACGATGCCTCAAACGTCCTGCATATGACTAGTATAAAGTTGACTTGAAATTTTATATATTTATATAGTAGAGTCGTAATGGCATCATGCAGCGGATAAGCCTTTTCTGGTTTTTCGGTCGATCATGTGGGTCGATACTTTGTCCGTGAAGCTCATGCAAACAATAGGGTACCTATAAAAGCCCTATCTCCCGCAGAGCACCTTCCACAGCTTCGTCCTTCCACAACAAACAAAGAAAAACTAACTAGTCTTCGCTAAATTTCTACTTTGTCCCTATCTACCATGGACTTAACATATATGACACTGTACAATATTATATTATATACAAATATTTAAAGGAGGGGTTACAGATATTACAAATATATTCAATCACATATTCGTGTACAATCACATCGCTCTCTCTCTTTACACACACAAAAATCTTATAGTATTCTATTAGCCACATGTTAAAATCTTGAGACATGATATTATAGTGGTAATAAAAAGATTTTGTTAATAATAATCTATATTGTTATTTACACGTATTTATTTACAATTTAAAATTTGATGTCTTATTTCGTTTTTAGAAGCCTATATATAAAATGCTTTTCCTGAATATATATATATATATATATAGCTGCTATAAACTGCAAACTCTTTTAGTAAAAGTACAATTTTTTGTTTCCAATAATTTTAAATATATCTTTAGTAATGGCAAATCATATTCAAATATTTTTTTTTTTTTTTTGCATAAGAAAGTTGATGACGTCATTTATGAGACTACATGAAACTCTTGAAATTCAATATTTTTATGAAAAGAATAAAGCTAAATGATACATCATTTGGAAAATATACGAGACAAATGTTACAAAGTGAATACAATTGTTGAAAAGTATTTATTAGATTTTGAAGGCATACACGCACATATACATATCAACACTCTATAAACGGCAATATATACGTAGTAATACACTTCTCATTTATTCTACTTCTAGTGCTGTGTGTCGCACATAATCATATCTATGGAATAATTGATTATTCTAGATCTGAATACACTGAATAAATTTAAGATATTAATATGGCAATAATACGTTAACATCACTCTCTTATTCTTACTACAAAAGGTACTTAGTGCATAAATCATTGCATTGGTGCCATGCTTTTGTACGAATCCGAATAAACATATAATCATGTGGCAGTTAATAGAAGATCACGAATGAGTTTTTATCCACTCGGTTTTCGATGAGAGCCGTTGTGCGAAGGGCGAATATCTTTCTCTCTACTGAATTTGATATTTTTTCCGCTTCCTGTCTACGCCTGTTAGCATAACGACTGTCACCGATGCTCGAGCAGTAAATTAAACAAATTCGCAATCTGATTATTAGTAACAATTTTTCATTCACTTTTAAAATAGTTAACGTCATTGTGTCCAATATCACATCATGCACATGTTTTAAAACTTTTAGATCATACATACAAAGACATAAAGTAGGCACTCAAATTTTTGGGCACGCAATTTAAATATTGTGTAAAAATAACTTATACAATACAATAATAAAATATTATGCACTATATATTATGAGCATCTTATATGGACCCTTCTATATCATTTTTCCTACATAAAATATGTTACAAAGAGAAAATAACATGAAAGTGTTATGTGTTATTAAGAATTTGCTTGTTTTTTTTTTTTTTTTTTTTTTACAAATATTTACATGTTTATATTAACATGAATTATTATTAATGAATGTTTTCATTCAATCAACATTTCTTATAATTCGTGATAATTTTAGTTTAACGTTTGAAGTTTAAACAACAATTCTTTATATTGTAATTTGATAAAACGATTAAGTTAATAAAAATATAATACATATTTTTATATACAAAATAAAACAATTCTGCCAAGATTGTCAAATTCTTGATATATTAATAATGTTTAAACATGTTTAATATTATGTGAAATATTAAAAATATTTAAGAATATTATACATGTGCGTGTATATGTGTGATACAATTATATATATGTGTGTGTAGCATTCATAAGAAATGTATATCATTCATTAAAAAAATAGCAAATATTGTTGCATATAAAGGCATAAAAAATATCCAACTTTTTAATTTTCATCTCGTAAAAAAATTATATTATTTTTAAAATATTTTTTGAGCTGTAAAAATTTATGTGCGGCATCATATCTATTTTTCTATAAAGAAACAATTTTCTGTCAAAAAAATCTAACAATAGACTAGAATAAATAATAATGACACCTCATATTATTCTTATCAAATCATTTTTAAATATGGCATATTATACATAAAAAATAATATATGCTATTAATGCAATATACAAATCAATAATTACAATGTTTTAAAAATTCCAATATCAGAATGAATGAAATATTAATAAAGAAACTTTTCTTACTCATTATTGCTATAATCGATTAAGAAATTTCAAATTATATGCTCATTATAGTTACTGTAAAATATAAATTATTATTTTTATTTTTATTTTACAATTTTATTTATTTGCGTCACCAATTCAAGATATGCAAATAAATATATCTTTAATCTACTAATTTTATTCTGTAATAATCTGCTTTGCTAAGATTTCAAATTTATTAGTATCTGAACAAAGCCTCGATATATAAAAAGTAATTTCATATGTGTAGTCGTATACAGATTGAAAATAAGTTTAAAATTATATATCTTTCGACAAGACAAATAAGTAAGCTCTACCTAATGCATATATCTTATATAAAATATATATTGTGTCTTCAATTGGATAAAAATGTTCTTCAACAGGTAATAAAGATACTTTTATTTGTACTTTTTTTTCATTTAAACTATAATTACTGAAAACTAAAAAATTTAGATGGGTCCAACATTTTTCTTACGTATTTACTAGTATAAATGCAGACTTTGAGAAAATGTCTATTTTAAAATTATTTCTTTTTTGGTTGTACATAAATTACGCAACAATATTATCAAATAGTACCCACACTATATAAATGCTATTATGCACAGACATTTAATCATTGCCAATAATAAAAATTGAATTTAAGAGGAAAGTACTATATATATATGCTCCTTTATCAAAATTAAACAAAAAATGCGTAAGCATTTCCAAAATTGTCTATGAAAATATTTAATATTTAACATTTTAAGCTTGTTATATCTTACAATTTTCTACCAATATGTAACATTTTACATTACGAATATTGCTCATGCTTTAAAAGATAGGACAGTTAGGACATATAAAATATTTGAATGTTATTTTTGGAACAGAAGCATTCGCGCGCAATAAAGTAAAAAAAAAGAAATCAGAGAGATTGATTGACAAGTTATTAATTTTGAAACCGTCTCAATGCATAGTGACATTTGCAATAAGTGACACAAGAGATGATACATAAGGAGAAAGAAAATTATCTGGTTCTGTCACATTCTGTATGTTATATAAAAGAGCACTCTGTGAAATAACTCGTAAACATAGTGTGAATAATGAATATATACGTATCATATATACAGGCAATAACATTCTTCATATATATATATGTATATATATACATATAAGATTATATCAATGTGGGAGCTAACATATTGTTTGATCACATTGTGCAACATCCAATAATACAACAACACAGAGAATTGTCAACAAAACATAAAGCTGACATAACGTTATATAAAAAAGTATAGTATATACATTATTATATATAATTGTATATGCAAGAAGACAGGCAAGATTAAAGCAAGTAGAAAATTCGAATTATTTAAAGGCAATTATTAATATCTTCGAATGCCTTCATGCATGTCCTGTAAAATTGTTCATTTCTATATCTTAACAAATCTATTATTACTAGGTGTTAAATAAATTTTAAAATATGATAGATAATGGCTAAGAGAGTATGACTATATATCAAGTAGAATTGCTTTAAAATTATATATCTTTCGACAAGACAAATAAGTAAGCTCTACCTAATGCATATATCTTATATAAAATATATATTGTGTCTTCAATTGGATAAAAATGTTCTTCAACAGGTAATAAAGATACTTTTATTTGTACTTTTTTTTCATTTAAACTATAATTACTGAAAACTAAAAAATTTAGATGGGTCCAACATTTTTCTTACGTATTTACTAGTATAAATGCAGACTTTGAGAAAATGTCTATTTTAAAATTATTTCTTTTTTGGTTGTACATAAATTACGCAACAATATTATCAAATAGTACCCACACTATATAAATGCTATTATGCACAGACATTTAATCATTGCCAATAATAAAAATTGAATTTAAGAGGAAAGTACTATATATATATGCTCCTTTATCAAAATTAAACAAAAAATGCGTAAGCATTTCCAAAATTGTCTATGAAAATATTTAATATTTAACATTTTAAGCTTGTTATATCTTACAATTTTCTACCAATATGTAACATTTTACATTACGAATATTGCTCATGCTTTAAAAGATAGGACAGTTAGGACATATAAAATATTTGAATGTTATTTTTGGAACAGAAGCATTCGCGCGCAATAAAGTAAAAAAAAAGAAATCAGAGAGATTGATTGACAAGTTATTAATTTTGAAACCGTCTCAATGCATAGTGACATTTGCAATAAGTGACACAAGAGATGATACATAAGGAGAAAGAAAATTATCTGGTTCTGTCACATTCTGTATGTTATATAAAAGAGCACTCTGTGAAATAACTCGTAAACATAGTGTGAATAATGAATATATACGTATCATATATACAGGCAATAACATTCTTCATATATATATATGTATATATATACATATAAGATTATATCAATGTGGGAGCTAACATATTGTTTGATCACATTGTGCAACATCCAATAATACAACAACACAGAGAATTGTCAACAAAACATAAAGCTGACATAACGTTATATAAAAAAGTATAGTATATACATTATTATATATAATTGTATATGCAAGAAGACAGGCAAGATTAAAGCAAGTAGAAAATTCGAATTATTTAAAGGCAATTATTAATATCTTCGAATGCCTTCATGCATGTCCTGTAAAATTGTTCATTTCTATATCTTAACAAATCTATTATTACTAGGTGTTAAATAAATTTTAAAATATGATAGATAATGGCTAAGAGAGTATGACTATATATCAAGTAGAATTGCTTTAATACTGTAAATTCTCTTGATATTTTTCATATATATATATATTTTTTTTTTATAAAAGGATATATTAAACTAATATTGCAAAGAAACTAAATTTGAAACAGCTAGGAATGAAAGGAGAATTTGATTATATATCACCTAGCTCAAATAGATTTTATACATGCTTGATTCTTGCAATATCATAATCGTTTAATAAAAACGACACATGACTAGCAAGAAAGGGAGCCATAGAGATCGCTTTAATTTGTAATTAATAAATATTGATTATAAATATGCAAAATTCTCATTTGTACTCTTTCCACCTGGATATAATTCTGCTAAATGAGTTCTAAATATGTTAAATGGAAATAGTAATATAGCAAGATAAAACGATCTGAAAATCTCCCTTTTACAGCCAAATATGGCTATAAAAGAAAATTGTCTGTGTAAATGTGTGTATGCATGTATGTGTACAACCTTGTGCCATTAATAAATTAGAATGTATTACAATTCAAGGGGTACATCCCCGTAACTAACCTCCTGTAGCAGGTCCTGGGCAGCAATGGCTTTCAATACATTCTTTTTGCTAGTTTCTTGAATCTCTCCACCAACAAGTAATTCGTCTAAGATAAAGTATGCCTTTTCGAAATTGAAAATTATGTCCAGCTCGCATACCTAATAATATCATTATCGTCCCATTAAAATTTTACATTTTTATAACAAATTACAACACACACTCTATATAAAAATACATTTTAAATTTATCTTAATAAATGTACTCACACTGCCAAAATACTTATCCAATAATTCAACATATCGATGTATAATTTCCAAAGTTAGCAATTCATTATCATTTTGCTCAATTGCGCAACAAAAGTACAAGCTTGCATATCTGCGAGTGAATAAAATTTTTCTTATAAAAAAGAATTCTGTGTTCATCCATCGCGAAATGCAAGATTTCAGATTGAATCGGCGATTATCAATTGCATACAATTACGTACCTCTTGTAAACGACTTTAACGTCCTTCCATTCTAAGAAACTTGACATTTTTGGCTTTCGTGCGAGTATCGTAGTTATTAGCTCGCGCGTGATCTTCTTTTTCAGTTTATCCGGATGAGCGACATACCACTTTTGTAAGCGAAGCTTTCCTTGACGGCTGAACAGTAACATAAATTGCATCTGCAACACCGTTAATGATTGTCACACGATTCTGTATCTACACCCTTCATACATTTATTTGGCGAACGAAACTTACCATGTTGCCTCGATTTTATCGTTTCTCTCTCGCGTCTCACAGTTATTTATCTTTCACGATTCAGCACCAATTAAATAACGATCGACGGCATTCGTACGAGTTCATATGAATTATGCGCACTTTTCAAGAATCACACCAACCCGAATTTGTCCCGCTCGAGAATCGAACTTTACAACGACATATTGGATATTGGATCGGGGGAGCAATTACTATTCTGGATTCTGGCCGCGTTCCACTGTACGCTCGCGAGCATCATCTGTCTTTGTTTAACTTTCGGTGAACACCAAGGATGAAATGATCACCGTGTTGCGGGCGTTAAATGGAACGCGCCCTCTGAAACGCGTTTGACGCTGACGCATTCGATGATTTATACAGGGTGTATCAAAATCAAAAAAATCAAGCATGTATAAAATTTATTTGAGCTAGATGCTAGATGATATAAACAAATTCTCCTTTCATTCTTAGCTATACCAAATTTAGTTTCTTCGCAATATCAGTTTAATATATCCTTTCATAAAAAAAATTATATATGAAAAATATCAAGAATTTACAGTATTAAAGTAATTCTACAAAACGAAAGTTCAAAATCGCGGCAAAGATGATGAGTTTGGCAGGGAATGTTGTATAAAATAAATGTATATTTATTAAATATGTTTTGTTTTAAATGTATATTTTTGATTGGAGTATTTTTCTTATATAATATTCTTATATAAAAAATAAAAACTATATCGCATATATTAGTTTTCACACAGAAAAGATCTATCACAAATTTATGCGTACAATTTGAAAGTATAATATATATCTATCGCTTAATGCATTGGAATACTCACGCTGATATTTGCATGAAAGAAAAGAATACATATATTTTGAATATTTGCTCCAATAAGAGAAAGATATTGTCAGCGCAGGAAATGTTTTACTCGTTCCGCAACTTAAAAAAACTCACCGAATAAATTAGCGACATTTGAAAATGCAACGGTCATAATCTACATGAAGCTAGCCACAGGTTGCCGACAGATTCTCGCCTGAAGATAGCCGCTTCCGAGTTTAGTAATAGCTAGACTCATCGCGTTAACCAATCAGAACAAAAAGAACTAAAATTTCTTTCTTCTGATTGGTCAATTTTCAATCTTCGTGTATAGTCTGATACAGAGTTTACCCGTCACTCTTATCGACTCTTGCTCCATGCCCTTAACTGCTAATACCGCCAAGGGGTTTAGGAGTTTAATATGTGCCATATGATGTAAAGTTTAAAACGCCTTTCAACCAAAAAATATAAGTGATTCAGTTTTTTACTGTATTTTTTTACGGAGTTTTATTCACGATCTTTTCGGGATGGAGGAAAGTGATACGAGACAGACCTGTTTAAAATTTATAAGAGGCCTCAAATGTAAACATCCATATAAACCCATTTATATTATATATGTATTTTTCTCTTTTACATTTAGATATATTTTGATTATACAACTTTGAACATTTGGAATAATTTTCTTGAATATATTTGTATCAGGATTTTGAAAGTTATTTTATATATGTTTGTATAATTTATAATTTTTTTTATTTCTTATTTTCTCTTTCCTTTAGCGAAAGGTGTACGATTTCCAGAATTTAATTTGTTTCTTAACATTTTACAAGAAGAAGCTATCACAAGAGGATTGGATGATGATGTTCTCAGTAAACTGGCAAATGTTATTATACACACAGATTTACGTTAGTATATTATTAATATATAATAAGTATATATATATATATATATATATATATTAACATTACAGTATATTTTATAAATGTAAGAGGCTTGATGCAAACGAGCATTGCATATATATATAAAATAAATATTAAACTCTTTGATGTTAGGTGCAGTTAAATGGGTATTATTAATAAGATGTTTAATTCCAAGATATAAATTGCCCGAGGAAATAGCAAAGTCTATAATTGCTTGGTGCTTATCATCATTGGATGAGCTACCACTCACTGTCTGTATCATTGTTATACAATGGGTTTTAGGTATGTATAATTGTATTATTGTTACACAAAGAGTTGAAAATGATTTAATTCTTATTCTGAAACTATTTACATTATAAAAATGTTTTATTTCATATATTATTTGTTGTAACTATACATATATATATAAAAGTATATTTATTATAAAAATTATAATATTTATTATAAAAATGTTGATTTTTAGGTTTATGGGATTATGAATTAGTAGATAGAAAAATAATTAATATATATTACGATGTCTTCTTTCATACAATGTTCAAGAAAGAAAAACTGGTAATATATGCCTTTTTTTACATATATAAATACATATCTTATATTTAATAAATTTTTAAGATCACAGTCTTAAAATGTTGACCTTATTGCTATTAGCATAAAATATATATATATAAAATATGTTTTAAAACGTATTCTTAGCCTATTTAAGTCGTATAAGCCAGAATTAGTTCCTGAAAAGATACAATCAGTGAATGTAGAAAGTGTGTGGAAACCTATACCTGAATTTATACGATTACCATTGGAAGATGCTAGAGATCGAGTGGAGATACAACAATCTCGCCAAAGCACTCAAACTCATTTTGATTGGAATGTGATGCAGGTATAAAAGATACTTATGTACTGCAAATATAATATAGTATCTTTGATTCATATCATAAATAAATTATATAAATATAAAACTTATTCTGCACATAGAATGTGAAAGTTCAAAAAAGACGAAAGCCACTGTTGCCTTCTGTTGGTTATTTTCACATTGGTTCAAGTATTTTTAAAGATAAGGATGCAAAATCGATTTTTGATATAAGCAGGTGAGCACAATACATCTGAAATAACATATATTACTCGCTCATTTTAATATATATTAATAACATATACATATACATATATAAACATTATTATATTACATATTTCAGCATAGATGAATTGGGAAAATATCATCAAAATGTTGAATTGCCATGTAATGCTGTCTCACTCTTGGCAAATATGGCTGGTTACCATCTTCTTACATATGCAGACTTTCAGTATCAAAGCAGATTTTCATACAATCTGTATAATACACTAACAAGAGGTATATATGCAAATCTTAGATTTTCTTTAATCGTAAAAATAAAAACATTATTTCTTATTTAATTATTTTAATCTGTCACATATAACTATATATCAAACATAAAATGTAATATAAAAAAAATTGCTATCTTAATATTTTAGCATTTATATTGGAAAATGGAAAATTTTCCAAGGAAGAAATGGATAAATTTCTTTCTATGACAATCGAATTTTCTCGATATATGCAGGAAGAAATACTTGTAGTTAAACTGTTCTTCGATGAATATTTATATTATAATACAGGAGAGTATCTGCCACAGTTACTTAATTTGTTGCAATGGATGACTTCTATATCAGTGGCTGGTAACTATAAAGGTGTTTTATCTAATTATTGTTTTGCTGGAAATATTACATTTATTAATTTTAGATTTACGAGAGAACATTCTGATACATGTACAGAATATATTTTATGCATCAAGTTTATCTATGAAATGTGAAATAATTAAATGCCTACAAAAACTAATTACAAACTTGGTAAGAATTTATAACATCCCTACAATCTGTATAACATTTCCATTATATATTTTATGCGCCCGCGCGCACACACACACGAAATATTAGGATGCAAACAAATACATAAGAATTATACATAAACATACATTGTGACTCTCAGAAATATACAATAGGAAACTGTTTTTGCAGAATAAAAACTTGGATTAATAATTTAGGTACCTAAATAGATATTTTTAATATCAATAGGAAAATTATTCATTACAGTTTGTTAAACAAGGACTTGAAGAACAATATCGGAATGCATCGTACTTTTTACAACAAGGTCCATTAGAAGATTTAGCAGAAATTATATCCGTACTTACAACAGTATCGGAAAATCTTATTGTTTATGGATTAAATGTACACAATTTTAATGTTATCTTTTTATCAGAAGCATTGGCATTTTATGAAGAGGTACATAAGTTTAAACTACAAGTAATTTAATTCTAATATTTAATCGATAAATGTTTTATCAATCATTCCTATTTCTTTTATGTCTTCAAAGATCTGTATATTGGAAAGCCGTAGTCACATATTAACGTGGACATTGCCACCACCAGCAGTTATCTATGGAGCATTTATTGCAAAAAGTTGCGCTCTTTTGTCAAGAGTTTGTAGATTATTATTAAGGTATTAATCTCTTTTATTTTCAAGTTAATTATGCTCTTTATTACTGATATTTGAATTATATTACAGGTATCGCCAAATGAGAACGCGGTTGTACGAAATCATGCCATCAGACATGTATCAGGAAAGGATTCGTATTATATCTACCTATGCAAATGATATTCATAGAGCATTATGGTATGATGAGGTATGTATGTATGTGCTAAATGTATCTAGATAGATATAAATAAATGGCATTTTTTTTAACAGCCTTTTAGCGCCCGAAAAGATGGTATTCTTCTGAAGAATCTCTCAAACAAAGTAATTAAGGATTTGGGAGATTGTGATTTAGATATTTTACTGAATATTGTTAACCATTATGCTGTGTTATCCTACAGATATACAATAAGTAAAACAGGCCTAAATATAAGTACAAAAGAGGTATGTCTTTTAAATATTTGGCTATTAAATTTTAACTCGCGCATGTTTATCGTGTAAATTAGTATAAAATATCATAAAAAAAGTTTAAAACTGTATTTTCGATACATTATATTCTGCAGATATAACATAAGAAAGAAGTTTTGGTGCATTTGACAAGAAACGATAATTGCATAGTTATGCATTCTATTTATATATTAATTTTTAAAACAGATTTTTTGATCAAATATTTTTCTCATACATGTACTTATTCTGGACGATGAATATTTATCTATTTTTTTTTTTTATTTTTTTTTTTTAGGATGCTGTAACTATGGCTTTATATTATTATCCTGCAGTAAATGAATTTCTTGCTGCATTTAACGAGTGATATTATAAATTCTTGTAAAAAGGAAAAAAATATATTGTATTCTTTATAATTTATACATACACATAAGATTTTAATGGAACAAATTAGCAATCACAAAGTAAGTAAATGTCTAAAGATAATTAAAGAGCATATATTATTGAGATGGCCTGATCCAAAATATTTTAATGATATAAGGACTTTAAAAAAGATCGTCGAATCGTCAATCAATGATGATTTCCAACGAGAAGGCGATTAATAACTATTTGCAAACAACGAAAAAGAAGTATACATCATTATGATAAGGTACATAATTGAGAACTTTCTTGCTATAATAAAAATTTGTAAAAAGATGTTAACTTGCTACAATGTATTGATTAAATCTATTGTCAAATTGCTGGCATACTGCAAATGTTTTACTTGCTATAATAATACAATTATCAATTATACGCATTGTATTGTAAAAGAGAGATACTAATGCGTATTATTATTCGAGTCTCTATCATATCTAACATAATTAAAAATTTATATTTGAATAGAAGCTATTCGAAATAGTTTCTGATAATTCTTATAAAAGAAAAATATCCAATTTGTTAAATTATAAATAATTCAAATAAGAAAAGGGATATTATTAAGATTTCTAAGGCTCCTCTCCAGGCTCTAATTATAACACGCATGCATATATATATATATAAATTAATATTACCAAATGTACAAGAAATATCTATTTTTAAACAAATTTTATAAGGGTTATATCAACACACACATAGAGTTTCTACTTTTGATACAACTCTTTTTTTTCTTTTTTTTTTAAGTTCAAGGTATTTCTTGAGCATAAATTGATAAGTATTAGATGAAAGTGTGTAGATAAAACCACAAACGCCGATGCTATATTTTAATATAAAAGTTAAATGTGTAGCAAAAGAAAACACATTTCTATGAGATAATCTCGGAAATCAAATATATGATAAAATTTATTTTGCCATTACACTTCGACAATATGTCTTATCGTCCAACGTTTTTATTCGCTTAAGTTTTAATTTCTATGATTAGTAACGCAAAGAACAGTATTTTGTGTCCAATAATGTAAACAAAATGTACTAATTTGTGTCACGTACTCATTAGTGGATCAAGTCTTACATTTTCGGATTGAATACACTATGGGCAGTGACTTTAGCTTAAATCGTAAAAAATTTGTTCAGTGTAAAAACAATATGTACATTACGAAGATTGTGACGAAACTCTGCTTCAACTAATTTTAACGAATGTATAGACGTTATGGCACGAACAGATTATTAATCATGATCTAATAAGTTTGCAAAATATCAGCCATACCATATCGTATTCTGTTATACTTAATGTGTGATAAGGATATACTTATATGATAGTCATATTAAACTTTTCACATTATTAATAAATTACATAAATCTTTGATAATTTTTTTCTATATATATTTTTATGGATCAGTATATTGCTTTTTCTCAATTAATTGCATATTGCAAATAAAAGATTAAATTTTGTACAAGTGTGTATATATGTATAATATTGCGAAGTATGTGAGAAAGATAATACACTTTATGCTATATCTTCAATTTATGTAATATTTTGCACAATGTATTCAATATACATATTTATAAAAACTGAATTCTAGAAATACAATGTATTCGGTTTGCAAAGTTGTAAAAATATTTCTTTTCGCGATTTAAATGTTTTATAAATGAACAAAATTAATTCAATGTTTTGTCATATAAGAGATATTTCAAATATTTGGGGAAAACTCTCTAATAATTATAAAAATTACATGTGATTCAAATGCATTTATCTATGTCATAAGGATACTATAAGTGATAAATAAATACTCTTACAAGATGTCAATGCGTATGTAGATAAAAAAAAAGCCGATAACTAAGTCTAATGTATCCTATTGCATTATGTCTTTGTTGCAAATTCTAGAATGTGCAATTCTTGTCGGTATAAGTCGAAAATAAACTCTCGCATTGAACACAGTATATTCGTATTTCGTATGTTTAAAATTTAGTTTTAGGAGGAAATATATATCATATAACACTGACATAAATTTCTGCATAATTTCTACGAAAAGGCTTCTTTGTTATACAATTCTAAATTAATGTCAGTTTAGTTTCATTTTCTTAGGACTAAATTTACGTAAATAAAAGAAATATTATAATATACGCATTTGAATTTATGAATACTGCAAACCAGAAAAAGACTCGTTTTTCTTCTCATTCTCTCGATATTTTTTAAATAATAGGCATTTAAAACAAAATTTAATATTAGTGTTTACATCCACAAAACACAGCCCGTATTCGCCCAAAAAAATACATTGATATTTTCTTGCCTATTTCGTATAAAACGCATTGATACTGTTTATAATGATATGTTTTATCTTTCTAAAAATACAAAAATACATGAAAATTTATTATAATACATATAATAAATGATGGAACAGAAATTTAATTCGTACTTGTCGGAAATATTTTTTCGGAATTACTTTTACCTAAAAACAAATCATGTTTATTAAGATTAAACTTTTTTATCATCACCATATTCTTATGCTATTAATATAATTTTGTATAGGAGAAAGGGGAGATTTACCTACAATTTATAAAGTATTTTAATAAATGTGGACGATGCGTATTTACATTGCATGATGTAGCTTATGTGAGAAATACTTTAACTTCTCAATCCCACAGTATCTATACAATATATTATACATATATAGATAGTATATAGATATTGTATAGATATATAAATATTATATAGATGTGTTCTCCACCCAATTTCTCTATCTAAAAAAAATTTGCGGATATAAACATAAAAAATATTTATGTATACTTAAAACATACCAAGAAGTATTATATAAATGTAAGAATTTATGAATATGTGTATATAGAATAAGCTATAGAATATACAAGCTTCTCTCTTGAATAACAGAATTTGAGCGAAAACGAGCTGTTGGTAGCACAGAATTATATTAGTATTTCCTGGTTATAAGATCGTTGTTTTGAAATTCAAACATAAACTTGTTTATTTCGAGGAATTGTCTCATAAATCTTGCCAATGACTATTCTGCAGCAGCGTGAAACAAGAATGAAAAAATGAGCGAGATAGAGCGATATTTTATGAAGTTGGCTATTTTAGTTTTCGACATCAGATTCACTCGCTCGAGAAAGAGATTCATGGTCTTTTACAACTCTCACTTTGGTAAAAATCTGATGTTATAACCAGAAAATAATGTATTTTCTACGTATGTTACAATATTTTATGGAGTAGACCGTAATATTTGAATCATGACATAAAATAAAATGACTTTGATCAATAGAATACATTCTATAAAATATGTGGATCACGAAAGTAAAAATGGATACATATTTAATTACAAGTATTAGGAAAGCTAATTGTTATAACAGATAAAGTCGTCAACCATATAGATTCTATCTTAATAACTTTGTTTTAAATTTTGAATATCTATCTTTGGCACAATATATTAATTAAGCAAAACTAGTTATAATTACACGTGAGAAATAATAAAATAAAAATGGAAACACAAATGTGTACAGGCTATAATTGACACACATACACATATATACATACATTATATGTACATACATATGTGTGTATATATGCACTTTTGTTTTTTTTCTTAAAACCTGTATCAATCACATTTGTCCAAAGAAGCATATATGAGTTTTGTCTAATGATATAAATAAACTCCAAAAATTTAATCAATTTTATAATTAAAAATTGTTTTCTAGGCTCTATACATATATGTATAGATATTGAAGATACATCTCTATATACGACTTATATAAGTGTACAAATACAAACATAAATACATATTCATATTTACATTTGTGTAATACTTTATATATGTATTACGTATATATTTATATCTGTATTTATACTTTATATTGCTAACAAAAGTAAATATTCAGAGCATCGTCTTTAGGATAATGATCAATTTGATGTGTACTTGATAATTACGTTTCTCTGTATATCTGTACACACAAGTATATATACGCATATCTATTTTGTCCTTGACACTCGCACACTTGCAGTTCTTGCACTATGAAAACGAATTTATGCTTCACTTCACTTTTAGCAATAACACTTTTGTACATAGAGCAGTGTATATGCATTTATTATCAAAAGAACGAGATATATATAACAGTTAACAGTACGGCGATAAAATAAAACAGATCAGTCCCAACTTCCATCACTATCCTCGTTGACCGCATCTTCTGCATCGGAAACCATACTTTCGTATGAAAAATCCGGTTCGTCTTCTAGGAATTCGTCCAATTTCTTTTTATTCGAGTTTAACTTGCGTTTTTTCGTTGTTAACGCAAGTTCGTCCTCTGGTGATCGTTCCTTGCGAAACTCATAGACTAGTGGATAAATATGTTCAATTGCCGCTTGAACTGCAGCAACATTAGGTGCTGTAATGTATGTAATATATAATTTGTTATTACATAATAAGTTTGATTTTGTTGATTATGTTAGCATATCATTCAAAACAATCAATGTACAAATATATTTGATTTATTCATGATATAGACATGTATAAATGTAATGCTTAGCTTTTCATAATATATTTGATGCTATAATTCTTTTAATTTAATTAAAGAACTCTTAATCCATTTGTATGCAGCATTCCAACATTAGAAACAAGAAATTATATCGATTTATTTTAACACATATTGCAACAAAAAGTTTGTACAACTTTTTCTATGTTTCTAATATCATTTTATGCTACAATAAAGTGCAAGATAGAAAATGGGATATTAAAAACCACAATGCGTATTTCTCTATAGCACAATAAAACATTTCTAATGAATACAGACCTGTTACAGTGACACTTCCCGTAGAAAATATCTTCAAAGTAGCTTTTGGTTCCTTTAGCTTATATGTAACACCAGGATGTAATTCTGGCTCGTAACTATAGTATATAAAAATATTTACACTATTGTTGTATATTTACAAACTTGTATACAATTGCTAATATTAATGCATTAATAATAAGTTACACACGCACGTTATATTCTATATTTATATTTTGGAAAACATTTATAATGTATATTAATAAATTAAATAACTGGTTTAAACAAAACAATTTTCTCTTATAATCATAATATAATTATTAGTTAATGAAACTTCTGCATACTTACTCTGCACTCTCTTTGTGATACACCGAAAATGATGTTATCTTGATTGCAAATGGCATACAACAAGTACCTAATACGTTCACCACTCTATAGTTATTAAATCTTACTTTGAATCCAAGTTTTTGCAGGGAACGAGCAAATCTACGTGCTGCAATTTTCGCTTGAATTTCACTGGTTGCACCAGTGCAAGTTACTTTGCCGGATGACCAGATAGATGCTGTAGTGTATGGTCTCCTTAATTTCATTGTTATCATCTAGAAATATCGCATATAAAAAAATTTATGTACATATTTTATAAATTCTAAGTGTATTATGTCTACAAGTAAATATTATTATGCCTATAAGTAGAGAAAAGCAATAATAATAAAAAGAAAGAATAAATATACACAATCATTTTAAAAGAAATATGATGTATATAATTATTTAAAGACCTAAAGTATTGCAGGAAACAGTAACTTTAAAATATGCAAATTTAAAAGTCTTAAAAAAGAAAAGAGTTACAAGGGGAAACAAAAAGTTGTAAAAAGTAATTCCAATCATTTTCAAAGAATGACAAAATTATTTATACAAAAACAAAGAAACCAATGTTTACAGAATGTTTAATGAAATCTATACAAGAAAAAGTCTATTCAGTTATACAATTGTATAGTAATAAATGTTTCATTAAAAACTCTACAACTTTTATTTAACAACCATGTTTCCCTTCCTAACTTTAAAGTTCTAAGATATTAATTTCTAATATTATATAATGCAATAATAACTATTTATTGAAAAGATATAAATATACAGATAACATACCCCATTTTCTCTTCTGTATTCAACATTGGATCCATTAAGTGCTATTTCTCGCAAGTTTAGATGACACCTTACACTAAAACTACAAACTACATTATTAATAACGATATCGAGCTCAGGAGGTTCTTCATGAGCTTCGGCATGATCCATATATGGTTGAAGTTGTCCGTCAAACAATCTATTGTCCTTTTCTTCTGCATTGTTCAAGTTATTAACATCCTCTACATGATTTAACGATTTATTGGTTAATGGTTTCATGCCATTCTCTTGAATAGCAGTTGCCATAATATACCTATAACATATAATGAGATCGATCTTTAAGATCTATCTTTTATATTATTACATCTATTTAAATTTGATCAAACTTAATATTTGAAATACTATACATTTGCATATGGACACATCTTGCAGTTATTAGTTATAATTCAAGTATTTATATTGTATTAATACATGAACGAAATTTGATAACCCAAGAGAGAACAAAGTATTATCTGCTATGCAGATCTCAAAATATTAATTAAATTTAATATATGAAAAAAAAAAATTAAAAAAATTTGTTCTATTATTACAAGTCTGTACAATCTTAAGCTAAAAATAAATAACAATGTCAAATGTAACTAATATAATATAATTAATATGTAGTTTTATAAATTCGAAAAAATGTCTATTAATCTGCATTTGATATTAACTTTTAAAGAATTACATATGGGTCATTTTGATCTTCGATATTTTAACAATAGAATATCCCAAAAGCCTTAACCGATAAAAAAAAAAAACATCATCGTTTACTAATGTACTACTTATGGTTCATTCATTTGCTGTAATTGCATGAATATGAATAAATGTACCAAATATTTATCAAAACGAAAAATCGTTTGCGAAATGAAAAAAAAAAAAAAAAAAAAAAAAAAAATGATTATCTTCTACAGAGATGTCAAGGAATATACATAAATTTGTGTAGATTCTTTCAAGCAATTTAAGATAGCTAAAACTGCGACAAGACATTATGACCCATATATGACCAGAAACAGAGAAAAAATGTATGATCTCTCTCTCTATAAGGTTTAATTTTAATATGTTAACTTTAAATTTTCTGATACTTTATTAAAACATTCTTAAGTCACACCTCATACTTGATGTGTAAAAAATTGAACAAATAATAAATTCGATTTATATATCTAAAAATTGATTCACACATAAACAGTTTTCCATGTTCAACATCGTGAAATTCAATCAAAAGCTATTCACGCTTCTATTTTTATTCCTCTATAAAAAAAAGGTCACTAAATTTAACATAAATTTAAATAAGAAATAGATTTTACGGATTGTCCTATATACATATAATCATACACAAGACACAACTCTATTGTCAACTATACTTAATAACTTTTAATAGTCATTGCAATGTAGATTTCTATTTTGCAAGTGCAAAATATAATTTAAATTATACTTCATATAAAACTAGAGATATAATTTAAACATAGGAAAAAAGCGGACTAAGAATGAACCAGAATCTTGCTCGTATTCGCACGTGGGCCGACTACTCACAATCTCATCACAGACGAGACCGAGACAATCGTTAACGATATAGCTAACGATGATCTGATAATGATCTGATTCATGTAAAGTTGCGATTCGTGCTTACAAAAACAATGACAGATTATAAAACAGAATTCGATTTTAATAATCGACAAGATCATCGTGAAATAGAAATAACATCCATTTACGACGCCTTCGTAAGTCGAGAGTTCGACTCGTAAGTACGGAATACGATGATGCAAATGTAATTGTTGCAAGCCAACGGAATTATTATGCGTGATTCGAGTATCTCGTTTAAATTGGCGATCGCGATGAAAGATAAACGCGGGTGGTCGAATATTCGAGGACTTTTTAAGAGAGACGGGGTATGATCAGGATAAAGATCGAGAGACGCTGGACGTACGTTCGATTGTATTCGCACGTGGGGGGCGGTTATTCGCAAAGGGGCGCGATTTTTAACCTCCCGAGGACGCGATGTAACCTCGTCGACGATTAGTCGGCGTCGTGTTTTCAAAGGCAGCGCGAATATTGACAGCGGTGCTGAAGAGGAACGACACCGCCGCGAGAATGTGCACTCCCGAGAATGTTCTACGAGAAAGACGAGGGGGTGGATATATAATACGTTCCGTAGATTCTGTATTCCGGGGAATGGCACTTGGGAATGGTACTTACGCTACGCCAAGCGGTCGTGCGCGATTTGTCCCGGATCAGAGATACCGTCTCTGTTGACAAATTGACACAGCAGAAGAACGCAAAGCTAGCTCAACGATCATTGCCATTGTTCTCAGCCATATTCGCTAGACTGGCGACTACTGGCGAACCGAGCGAGCGACTCGTCGACCGCGGAATCGCTCACGGAACGTAGATGGCCAGACCGAATATTTCGATACGAATCCTAATAGAGGTATTTGATTGGTTGTCGTCGAAAAAAAAATTTCTCATGAGATCCAATCGGCGCGCTGGACAATCTCGTCGCGCGAGGCTCATTCGTGCATTCTTGCGACGAAACAGTTTGTCAGCCGCACCGATTGGCTATTTGAATTCTTTCATAGGGTATTTTGCTCTTTAATTTCCTTCAATGATAGAATTTTGAATATTTTTTATTTCCTTCTTTATAACCAATCATATACTAATTACATCTGAACTAAAAACATTTTTCATCAGATATTTAACAATAAAAATAATATAGCGATACGCAGTTTTTAGGAAATGTTTTGTTTTTATATATAAATTTAAACTGTAAAATTGGAAATGATTGCGAAATATATGTTTTTTTTTCAATTCGTAAGTGCGGGTCTACAATAGGTGATTTAAGCCCTAAGCCTTAGTGCCGATCTACAATAGATGATTTAAGCCCTAAGCCTTAAGTGCCGGTCTACAATAGTGATTTAAGCTCTAAGCCTTAAGAAATTGACCAATCACGATCAAGTATGAGGAGAATACTCGACTGTGATTAGTCAATTTCTTAAGTGCCGGTCTACAATAGTGATTTAAGCTCTAAGCCTTAAGAAATTGACCAATCACGATCAAGTATGAGGAGAATACTCGACTGTGATTAGTCAATTTCTTAAGTGCCGGTCTACAATAGTGATTTAAGCTCTAAGCCTTAAGAAATTGACCAATCACGATCAAGTATGAGGAGAATACTCGACTGTGATTAGTCAATTTCTTAAAGCTTAGGGCTTAAATCATCTAATGTAGACCGGCACTAAAGCACATATAAAATCAATGTTTTTAACTGTGATAATAAATAATATCGATCAATCAGCGAATTGAATCATTCCTCCACACTCTTGAAGGTTTACTCCAGTGCTGGGATTTACTTGCACATTTCGGCCCGATTCCGTGGCTCACGCCTATTGCCCCCCCCCACTCACCGCTCGTGCGTTAGTAACGAGTCGCCAGATACGCGCAACTAAGGAGCGCGACGCTTTGTCTCAGGAGCGTCCGTATATAAGAATGCCCAAATATAATAATAAGACAATACTTTGGTTACGCGTATCTGGCGACTCGTCGTTAACGTATGAGCGGTGAGTGGGGGGCAATAGGCGCGAGCCACGGATTCGGGCCGAAATGTGCAAGTAAATCCCAGCACTGGTTTACTTCAATATATTAATTTTTTTTTTTTACTTTTTGAATAAATTATGAACCACCAAACGTTGTCAAGTATTATTAAAATGGAAAATTCTTTCTAACTCACAGACAGTATTAATTTTTTGACATGTATATGTTGATTAATAAGCACTGTATGATCTTTAAGTTCTTTTTTAACGCTTTTCGATAAATTATTTAAAATAATTTTGTACATGCATTAACTATTTTAATATTAAAATTCAAATTGTGAGAAAATCATGGAAAATAATTATTATTGACTGCGGTTAAAAATAATTATACGTTGATTATTTTTAACTGAAAATTCGATACAGCCAATGGCAAGGACAATCCTGGTGAAAAGCGCAATACTCATAGGCTACGGCTCGCTAACGACAACGATAATCGTCGCTAAGACGTTAGAAAATCTCGCTACTGACATTTAAATTGTGTGTTAAGTCATTTCTGTCACCGTCTGTACGTCACGGATGATTCAACGCAAATAACAAAAAAAAAAAACAAGATTATTTCTTTTTTGACAAGATACATCTTTCGAGATAACGAACGCAGAATTTATTCGGATTGGTTACAAATGAAACTCATTGCATCGGTAAAAGTACTGCCAAATTTTTTACGATGGCTGGATATTTAATTGCATCATTTTTTGAGCGGCTTTTATTCTATTTTAAAGATCAGAAAGAGTTATACAGTATATTAACGGTAACTTGAACACATTACGACATATCGGTGATGATATGATCGGTTATTAATATATTATGATTTGACATCGACAGATTTTACTTGTTATTTATAGATATGTTATATTCTTTTTTATTCGTAATCTCTAATAATTTAATTGTTTATCGCAAAATATCTTGTAAATTGTAAAATATTTTTCAAAAATGTGTTATATTTTGCAGATTTTTTACGTGGGACGACGTTTTATCTTTTCCAGTAGCAGTATTCGATATTATGCGTGTATATAATTATTATAATAACAAGAGAAATTCAAGAGATGCTACGGCTTTGGATTATAATAAAGTATGTATACACGAAAGTACATCACATATTCTACTTGCTGTAACTACGGAAATAATAAAGTATTTTTCACAGCTATGTAAGAGATCGCCGACAAATACGGAATATTTCTGCAGGCCTATATTACTTGTACGGTGGCCTCGTCTGCTCTCGCTAGAAGCGGGACACGCATTAAAGTCACCACGAGCGGCAGGTGCTGCCTGATGATATTAAAATTACATCAAATGTCGTCACAGGCGTCAGGATATGTAAGATCAATCGTGCCCATATCCGTTTGTCCACTGGGAAATTCCGTTTTCATCATTCGAATTTTAAACTGTATAGAACCGTATTAAACGCTATCAAGGATCCTTATTCTTAACGAGGCAAAAGTATGTATATATCGAAAATTATTGAATTGAATCATATGCAGCGTACATCGTAGATCATTCTCTTTTCGATTATCCTTCATTAGTCGTGTATAATTTTATAGATGTCCGTATCGTTTGCGGGGGAGAATTATCCATAAAAAAAAAATTTATGATTGAATTAATTCATACAGACGTTACACGATCCTCGTGCTTTTAAAAAAAGAAACTCGAAAAGAGATCATGTTTGCTCCGAAAACTGGTTGTATGCGATATTTTCTACGAGATAACTCCGAAATTTGACTCCAACCCGAACACGTAACATTCTTTTTGGCATGAATATGACTGCTAGATTCTCCAAATTGCATTCCTAGATATGAAGATCTTTTTCAGAGATAAGAAGACAGGTCTATGAAGCGAGGTATTATCGCGTTATTTTTGCTTAACGGTAAAGATGTGACTGGGGCGCGCGCGGCGGAGACGGTGGGGGCGGAAGGGAAACCTGCACTGCCCGGTTTCTTGCAGCCATGATTGGTAGTGGCCGTCAGTGCTTGCTTAACCGTTGCGCCGTTAAGCAAACGTGCCTCCGCTCAGTTCATCCGATTTTTTTCAGATCGCGTCCTCTTCGCTGCGCGTTCTCTTTTCGCATCGCCCGGAAACGGGCAAACAACGACAGTGTTTGCGGATAACGTGATCGTCCGATTCGCGATCTTCGCCGGACGATTTTCATCCTTTCGTCTTTTCTCTGACCTGGGTGAGTCATCGAAAGAGTCACGAATTTATTTCGCGCGATGACGCGCGACCTTCCTGTCATTTTCGCGAGAGCAATCTTTTCGGAGCGATGTTACTGATTATGAGATATGTAATAAAGAAATAAAACGAGATTCGAGGTCGTTCTCGACGATTCGCCGGGATTTGATTTGCGCCGTCGTTCCTCGCGGCTGCCCTGGATCCCACACGGTGAAAGTCGTTCCAAAGTCGTAGAATCGATCGCGATACTTTTGGCAGCCAGCAATTTGTAGATCCAACTGTATGTATAGGTGACGAATTTAATCAACGAGACTTTGTACGGCAGGTTGCAATTGAAATTTATTTAAGTTTCCAACTATGGAAAGTAAAATATGAGCCTGTTCTTTATAGCTGAACTGGCTGCACTAGTTCAAAGTTTATCTTTTTCTCTCCACATTAAAAAACTTCCTCTATGAGGAAGCAAAAGAAAAAGATAAACTTTGAACTAGTGCAGCCAATTCAGCTATAAAGATCATGTGTGAAAACAAAATAGCTCTCTATGAATGCGTACTTTCTTGCCTAGGATTTCGCTCTATTATCGTATACAGGGTGTCCCACTTCCCGCGCATTATGTTTCAACGACAGATTCATTGATCAATGCATGAGGTCGATTCTTCCTAGTGTCGAGAGAGATCATCATTATTGCAACTTTCCTATTCACCATTCATATGTCTTTGAAACTAGGCCTCGAACTAAAATTATAATAAACTCTCTACAGCTTTTATGAATTTTCAGCTGGGAAATCTAATATTATATTCATTTAACTTTTTCCTTAAATTTCGTTCGCGAAAAATCTTTTAATTGCTTGTATAACTTTAAAATTATTATTGCCTCAATCTTTTTGCTAATGAAAAATCATCGTTAAAAATAATTTGCGACAAATAGAATACTCTATTGAAACAATGGCATATCTATTTATCTAGCACAATTTTAAATTTCTAGGAATGATAGTAATTTTCAAATGTTGATACCCAATAAAAACATACAATTGAATATAAAAATCTTCTCTTAAATAATAATACATCTAAACAAATTTTATTTTGTATTAAAAGTAGAAAGCATTTTTTTTTTAATATTTTGCTGCACTCTTATTCTTATGATATCGTTTTAAGAATATTTTTTATGTAGTATAACTTGATAAAAAAATATTGATCGATTATCTATAATTGATATATTTTGGTATACATGTTTTTAAAATAAAATTTATTTTAATGACGTGCATATATTTTTTTTACATATATGTAATATTTTCTTGATATATGCTATGAGATTAAAACTGCTGCAATGGTACAATTTATAACGATTGTTTGTTCGCAAAAAAAGTGAAGCCCTTTGCGTTTCATATGTGAATCCTTCTAATATTACGAGTCTCAGCATTAATACGATCTCATTCGTTCACAATATTTAATGCATTGCGTATTCACATTTTTCTTTGCAAATTTAAAAGACGGATTGAAAATAAACGAAGTTTTTTTCTCTCTAAACTCTTTTCTTTTCCAATTAAAAGTATTTAATTTAAATGAGTAATATTTTTCAATTTATATCTCGAGGAAGGGTAATACTGACAAGAGATAAAGTATTACCAAGTATAACAGCAAACTTATGACGCGCAAGAAAACATAATTAAAGCTATAAAATTAAAACTAATTCATTAAATTTTTTTTTAATTTATAAATTTAATTTATAAATTTATAATTGAAAAATTTTATAAATTTAATTTATTAATGCTATAACATATCTTTTTTATTTCTAAATAATGTGAGCAGTTTTATATTTTTACGCGACATATATTGGATAGCAAAATACTTTGTAAACCTGTTTTACCGAATAAAAACATGACTTCATTAAGTTATTATGCAATACACGGATGTAAGAAAAATTTCCGTGTATATATTTTGTCGAAATTACCCAGCTTCTCATCTCACGTCATCTAAGCTGTTCATAGAGATATTGAGAATATAATGTTATTTCTATTCGTTATTATGTATCTTTTTTCTCTCTAAACAAGTAATTATTATATTATTCTTGTGGATTGTTCAAAATTAATGATGATGGATGTCGCGATAAATTCCCGGAAAACCCGGTAAGGAAATGTGATTTCGTAAAAGGAGGGAAATTGCACGGCAATATAATTACTGACACCTGTGTGCATTATGTCACTTACGTCTAATTACTCGCGACGTTTAGTAACATTCTTGAGTTTTCTTTATAATGTTTATTTGCGTCTATCGTCGTTTGTCTTTCATCAAATTATCATTCCTGTAATACATGTTTGAAGAAAATTATTGTGATTGATTGACTATTGTTGCGAAATCTCGCAACTTCGTCGCAATTTTATGAAAAACAAAAATCATACATTATTTTACAATCTGCTACTATTTTATATCACATTGTTTTCAAGAGAGAAATTTTTTTTAAATTTAATTTCTTATCTGCAAGAAAGGTTTGAATTAATTATATATAAATAACAGATTTTTCGCGCATTCATATTGTATAAAAAGTTTCTTGTGAATTTTCTTTTTTAATTTCTTTATTAATCGAATGATTATACATTTATTCTCTCTAGGCAGATACTTTATTGACTACTTTAATTACAAATGATATTTTTTCATTATAGATCTTCCTCTTTAGAACATGGAATATGCGTGGCTGGGCATTCTAGTGCTATGGGGAATAATCTCAAGTGTAGCCACCGAAAGAGAATCGTAAGTCTAATATACATTTATAGATATCTTTATATATACGAGGTAGTCCTGGTGAATTAAATCGGACAGCCGGAATCTCACGTGCACTCTCTGTCTCTCTCTTAAACGGGAGACGCACCTTCAAGAAAAATAATGGCGATAAATCCAGAAATTACGTCGCTCAGACTACGCGCAGGTATGCGAAATTAGCGCCTCTAATTACGAAACCGGCGAGGAACTATGCCCGCTGGGCAGCCGGCTAGTCCTCCTGTCATTTCTGATTAATCGACGTCGATTTACTTAGGCAATACTTAAGAAGCCGAGACGAGGTACATTTGCCGTGACGCAGCCGGGTGTATAAATCGTATACACTCCAAGATCATCAGCTGAATTTAGAAGTGCGTGCGCGCGGAGGCTGCACCGTGTTAAATTCTCGAATTAACATTGAATAACGTTGAACATCTGTTAATGACCGCGAGTCGTCGTCTCAACCGTGTGAATGTGAATTTGTTTCCTCCGTTTGATGAAGCAATGATTAATTACTATATTTTCTTATTTTCTTTCGTGCATATATATATATTTATTTATTTATTGATCGTCATTGCACGAAAGAAAATATAGTAATTAATCATTGCTTCATCATATATATATATATATATATATATATATTTATATATATATATATATATATATATATATATATATACAATTTCTAAAGATAAATTCTCATACATTCAGCAGCTAGTTTACCATGTCAACGATAATAATAATAATAATAATAATAATAATAACAATAGTATCAATGGATACACTGTTTTAAATAATCATTTCAGTTTGAACAATCATTAGAACGTTGTATCCTGAATTCTGTCCCAGATTACAGAATTTAATACGCGTTTTAATATCGCTTTGCGCTTTGATTGATTTTTATTAGAAGATTCTTGTTTTCCTTAAAGATACTACACGATTATTGCTCCGAAAGTGGTACGTCCTGATTCAGAGTATCATGTAGCAGCAAGTGTTACCAGTGTATCGACACCATCAACGATATACGTCGAATTAACTGGAGACCTCGATGCAGGAAGGATATTCAACATATCTCGAACAGTAGTCGTCGAGCCTTACTCTACTAAAATCTTACGATTGGATGTACGTATTGCGAGAGCACACTTATATAAAAGATTGTATATATAAATTTATTTTTTTTTTGTCCTGTCTCTTAACTTGTTATTCATATGTTTATTCTGTTTACGTTTTGTCAGATCGGCGAGACCACGCCGGGAAAATACAAACTTACAGCACGCGGCTTGTCGGGTATCGATTTTTATAAGTCAATAGACATTGAATATGTGCATAAAAGTTACTCTGTTTTCATCCAGACCGATCGGGCGATTTATAAACCCGGTCACAAAGTTATGTTTCGCTGTATAATATTGGATTCGAGATTGAGGCCGAGTATTGTGGGACCGACGGATGTGTATATCATTGTAAGTAATGAGTTTAATGCTCTCGTACAAAAAAAACCATGTGTATCCTCATATAAACACCTTAATGTTCACAAGACATAGTAAAATGATTTGTCGAGGATATACACAGCGAATTTTCGAAACATTAAGGAAAAAATTGCTACAGGACGGCGATGGAAATCGTATCAAGCAATGGAATCGACCATCGGTGGCTCACGGGATCTTTAGTAGCGAATTGGAGCTGTCGCAGTCACCGGTATTGGGCAACTGGAAAATTATTGCCAATGTGGGCGATCAGACGTTCGAAAAGGAATTTGAAGTCGCGGAGTATATCCTGCCCAATTTTGAGGTGACAATTGATTCGCCGAAACATGTGCAATTCAAGGAATCAAAAATAATGGCAACTATTCACGCGAGGTAAACTATTGCTTTCTAGCAAAGTAAGCGATTTACAGAAGAGACAAATCGGTAAAATATACCGCAAATTTTACCTTTTTAATGGTTCCTTGTTAATTAATAACAAAATCATTCGATCTTGCGTGCCCTACATTTTTTCAGCAGTAAATAGACTTTGAAGATGTGCTGTCTCACGAGATATTAATCAAAGATCAATAACTGAAATAGTTTGACTTTCCCTTTTGACTTAAATGATTCTACTTAAATCATATACACGAAGACTTTCTAGACTTATACTAATATCTGTACGAAAAATTTGACCAAAGATATTCATTTGTAAGTGCACCTAATTTAGGTATACCTATGGAAAACCGGTAAAAGGCGAGGCTACGATAACAGTTTACCCAGACATTTTTTCTGGCGTTATTCAACCGATATTCCAACAACCCGTGAGAAAAGTGGTACCGATCGATGGGAAAGTTACAGTTGATTTCGACATTTTGTCTGAATTGAGGTAAATATTGCATTAACATTGAACATGCCATTCACACCCTGAAAATATGATAGCATTTAAAAATTACTGCTTGGAATAAAACGTCGGATCAGATCTTTATCACTTACGTTAGTTATTCACAAACTTTTCTATCGTAGTATTGCAAGATGCGTTACGCAGATTACACGACTGACACTTTTAAATATATACATTATATATATTATTTTATATAGATTGACCGACGAATACGAAAGACCCGTCATGATTGATGTGGTGGTAGAGGAGGCGTTAACTACCAGGAGACAAAATGCCTCGATACAAATAACATTACATAAACACAAGTATACGATGGAATTAATAAAAACGTCGGAATACTTCAAACCGGGATTAAAATACACCGCTTTCGTAAGCATGTCTTATTATAGCACATTTAATCATCGTGAATGTTCAAGTTAAAACGCACGTTTTTTTTTATTCGTACGTACTATTATTTTGCAGCTAAAATTAACGAATCACGACGGATCGCCAGTACAGGACACCAAGAACGATGTCCTAATAGCGTATGGATATACGTACGATCGATCGAAATATTTAAATATTACAAGAATGTTGGATCAGAACGGCATGATACATTTAGATTTATATCCACCCAAGGCGAGCGATAATAATAGTTTTCCTCTAAACATAGAGGTAAAGTTATTAATCTCGAGTCTTTTTTTTCTCTATCTTTACATTATCTACAAATATACAATCTGATTGTTTATGTGTATATATGTAGGCACAGTATCTAAATCTTCACGAATGGTTTCCCTCGACTAATCAAGCCACATCTGTGAGCAACGAATACATCCAAGCAGTCCTAAAAACGGAAAAGCCAATGGTATATATATTTTATTAAGTCTATTACATACACAAAACTTCTCTTTCGGCTATAATTCTCATCTCACGATATTTTGTAATTTGCAAGGTGAACAATTATATCGAGATTGAAGTAAATTCTACCGCTCCGTTGAAATACATAAGTTACGAGATACTCGGTCGCGGTGACATTCTAGATGCGGGATCAATCTACGTGCAAGACAAGTACACAACATCCTTCAAGTAAGTATATAGGAAAAAGCTTAAATCTTAGATCTCTTTTGAGTCATTCGAAGATACGTCTCGAAACTAATTTTATCTTGAATTTATGATTAATAATTTTGAAAGGGAAAGTTTCTATTTTGAACATCTAGATCGCAATTTATTTGAATCTTTAGTCTGTATTTTTTTAAACTCAGAATCAATTAATGTCGACGGTATTTTACGTAACACAAAAACATCTTTTAGATTTTTGGCAACATACGTCATGGCACCTACCGCGCATATAATTGTATATTACGTGCGAACGGACGGAGAAGTAATAGCGGATTCATTGGATGTTGAACTCACTGGATTACTTCAAAATTTCGTAAGTCATCGTAATTATTCTCAAAACGTTTATGTATTGGTGGGCTATGTTAAAGAATGCGTGGATATAAATAACGGTAGAATTTTGTGATGTACAGATCGATCTTAAAGTAACACCAGGCGAAGTCATGCCTGGGGAAAGCGTTAATCTTATGATATCAGCGAAACCAAATTCCTTTATCGGATTGTTAGGCGTCGATCAGAGATCCATCCTGTTGAAATCGGGAAACGATATCTCTTACGTATGTAGAATGTAATACTGTAATATCTTAAGTAATTAATTAAATTTCACGCGTATTTCTTACGCGCTTTTATCTCTTGACAATATAACAAACTGATTCGCCGATTGCATCGCAGGAGCAAGTATACAAGGAACTGCAGTCATATGACAGGGTGAAAGCATCACCATATACAGATTCGTTTTTCGATCGTCCTCTCTGGAGACCCGGTTCAGGAACGGCAGATGACGTGTTTCAAGTAAAATATATATTATTTTTGAAATATTTATTGATCATTATTATCTGATGTTACACAAATTAAAATAACAATATCTCTATCAGAAAACTGGTGTGGTAATCCTCACAAATGGATACGTCCACGAGAACTTCCCTGCGCGTAAGTATTAAAACGCAAAATATATTTCGAGTTTACACTGTATCCAGTAAAATACTAATGTAACGCGCACATTCTTCAAGTATATACAAATATCTTTAAATCATCTCATATAGAATATATATGGCACATATATTAAGTAACTAGGAATCATTCTTATTTGTAATATAGCATGAGAATAACATTCTCTCTGTTTTCGATTTATATTTTCTTTTATTATTATCGATTCGTTTTTTTCAGTCTCGCGCACAGATGTAACATAGATATATTTTTTTTTAACCGAGCTTATATGTGTGTAGTATACTACAGAGCTAATTTGGATGAAGCGTTATATGCATCTGCTGCGGGATTCTCAGGCCCAGCTGCATTACCGCCCGAGAAGGTCAAAGTTCGCAAGAATTTCCCTGAAACTTGGCTTTGGCAAACGCTTGACGCTGGGTAATGCCAATGACATAATAAATTATCATGCATAAGAAATCCCTTTTTTACTTCTATACGTCTCTATACAAATTTAGTAAGCGATTAATTATATTTATTTGGATATTTTCTCTTAGTTGCATTGATTAGTAACAAAAAAGCATTGTTCTACAACTTTTTGTAATGTAGATATTTCTTTAATGTCTTATGTGTCTAATATGTTTCTAATTATCTGATGTTTTAATCTGTGGCGATTTTCTCTTCTTGATAGTAAACTTGACATCTCTTCCTTTCTCTCTTTCAGTCTGCACTCATATATGTACTTTTCAAAAAATATTAATATCTATTGAAAAGTATACAATACGAAATAATAAAAAAACTAAAAAAACTAAAACGCTTCGCGCATTAAAATTGCATATCGAATTTGTTGTGGCGGGAAATGGCATTGGATAACTCATGGTGATGGGTAAAAATTTTAATTATTCAGGGTTTTTGTCATAACCACGGTGTTTATTTCCACGGATTTGGGAACACTCTCTAAATATGTATACATAGGCGTCCGTAGAGGGGGGGGGGCAAAACGGGCACGCCCCCCCCCTGGAAAATGGAAAAAAAAATTTTTAATTAAAAAAATTAAATTATTTAAAAAAACACAAAAAAACCAAAATCTTTTTCGATTTACATCTATCTTGACGCAGTGAGAAAGCTTTAATACTAAAAGATGTAAAAATATTTAAGTATACATTTTTTAAAATTAATCTGAAAGTGATATGCCCCCCCCCCTAGAAAAAATTCTGCGGACGCCCATGTATGTATATATTATTTAAATAAGATTTACAATATTTAAATTAAAGTATCGTTTAATATATTTTATCTTAAATTTATATATCTATTTCGCGAATATAATTCGAAGTTATACTTGATTCTCCGTCTATCAATCCGCCAATTGTTTGATTTTATTGGATGAACATTTAATTCTCTCTCTAATAATTTTTTTATATAATATATTTCAATGACAGAATAGTTTTGTTACAATTTACGTTAGTCTCGCCATTTTTAGATATGGCAATGTATAGAAGAGCCTTAATTTTATTAAAATTATGAATAATACAACTAATAATACTTTCAGAAATGGATACGAATCCAAATATTAAATATAATAGATACAGATCTGGTAGAGTGTGTGTGGGGGGGGGGGCACCTATATGATTTATCTTACAGAATTATATCTTGTACAAACCTACAATTTGATCTTTATTCGTTAAAAATTTAATTTTTCATGCATTAGGGTTATTTCAGGTGAACCGTTATCATTCATATTGTGAAACTTTGGATTTTTTCATTTTCAGAAAAATTTGCGCATGTTTGCATCCAAATAGGATAATTGAAATACTAAAATCGCAGAAGTTTATGTCTATCAACTTTTATAATATAGAAATCGATTTTATCAAATTTAAAACATTTTTCTGACGAATCGCATGACATGGAATAACCCATTAATAATGTCTTTTAATGACATTGAAAAGAATGTTCCAGAATTGCCACTCTATTTCATTAAAATCACAAATCAAACTAAAAGGAACGTCAATTTATGTTAATATCAGGGTTTGATTGTTTTTGGATTAATAAGATCTACAGAATGTCGAGGAATAAACTTTGCAAATATGAAAATAAATGATAAAACTTTCTTTTTTATTCAAGTTTAAAGGAAACTTTAATTTCTTTAATTACTTTAATGAGATATGTTTGTGATTCTTGTAATATAAAAGTTGAATGTTAAAAAAGTATTATAAGAGAAGAAAACAAACTTACTTTATTCAATTAATAAAGAAGGAATTTTGATTTGTTAAAAGTTAAATGTGACGAATCTTTCTGTAGCCAAAAAAGTGGTAGCAGTTCTGAAGCATTGTATGTGAAGGTAAACTCTCTCGATAATTATGCTACTGATTATGAGACTAGATAGTTGTTTTGATCGTATTTGAGTATTTGAGTACCTTACTCCAATTCCCAGAGGCCGTTGTAATACAATACACAGAATTGGATTGCAGGACCAGAGATTCTCAAGGGTAGAATAACGGGCTCGCCTCATGGGGTGTCCACGCTTCGACCAGATCTTGGTCCACCTGTCACGCACAGATTAGCGACCAGACCGCCGCTGGCAGGTCCTTACGCCTTCTCTCGCATCCCAAACCCTGTCTGGAATAAGCCCCGTGTATTCCTAATGCATGACATCTTAAACACCTGGCTTTTTGCAAACTTCTCTTCAGGGTATTTATCTCGTATACTTTTTTAGCGTTTTATGCACGCCTATGTATACGCGTATATACAGGATGTAATGAAAAGAAAATCGCTAATACAATAGTTATCGCTACGTGAAAGTTGATCAAGGTAAAGGTGTGATTTTATATTTCCTTAAGAACATAAATTGTAAATGTTATATACACAAAGCTTCCTCTACATACATCAGGTCTTGAAAGAACGATGTCTTGTATCATGTCATTCACAAGCGAGCAATCGATTCTTGTTTGTAACACAATGTTTTCTATTCATATAGAACATGTATCTATACATTCATAAAGGTGAAGGATACAAATTAAAAAATTTATAACACGATTTTTTATTTTTCATTTTATATCAACTTGCTTGTATCGTACAAACTGTTGCTTTGTTTGAAATATGCGACACATAATTTCGCTTTTATCACTGTTTGAAAAATTTATCGGAGATGAGAATCAGTTTGCAATGTTTATTTATTGTACATATATTATTATTTGCACACTTCACTTATTATCGTGTTTATACATATCCTATTTACTATAGTTTATTCATTATATTTGAGAACTGTAGGGTATACACTATTGATTTAAATATCTCTTCTCGATTATGAAGGAATTAATTATATGTATACTTTTGTAGATATCAGGGAAAAGCTGAACTACGACGAAACGTACCGGATTCCATCACATCATGGGTGTTGACCGCATTCTCCCTGAACGATGCACATGGATTAGGCCTTATAGAGGAACCCAGAAAGGTTCTTACTTATCTATACAATCTGTGTTCGAAAAACTCCAAGATTGAATTCACCATGTCTGCATTCATAGGAAAATAGTCTAAATAACATATTATAGCAAAAAAGAAATTATTAAAAAAAGGGAAAAAGTCGATGGTTGCCATAATTATAACGCTATTATTTTCTATAAAAATATTTATATTTTTTATATTTTCTATAAAAACATCGTTCGTTGTCTGTCCATTAGCTGAAAGTCTTCAGACCATTCTTCATATCCATGGATTTGCCGTACTCGGTAATTCGGGGAGAAATCGTAGGAATACAGATTGTAGTGTTCAATTATATGAATAAAGACCTGACAGCTGAGGTTCTGCTAACTAATGAGGGACAATTTGACTTTGCGGAGATTTCTAATGAAGTCCACGATGTACCGAGTGAGTGCACAAGACAGAAATAATAATATAACAATCTATATATACTATATATAAATTGTTAACTGCAATATATATATTACAGTTTTATAGTTGAATCATGATAAGTTTATATGAGTGAATTTTTATGTTTATTAATTTTCAGAATTGGAATTGTATCGTAAGAAGAAGGTGGATGTGAAAGCTAATTCTGGCTCGAGTGTATCGTTCATGATTATTCCAAGGGAATTGGGATACATCACTATAAAGGCGACCGCTAACAGCGTTTTGGCTGGCGATAGTGTCGAACATAAGTTACTCGTCAATGTAATCACGTTTATTCCAATTTTTTATTTTCGCGCGATTGCTTACGACGATACATTAAGACATAATCGTTATGCTTCAAGGCTGAAGGGGAAACGCAATACAAGAACGAAGCGGTATTCCTGGATTTGAGAAATGTGGAAAACGCAGATGCAAACGTTACCATCAATATACCTAATAATGCAGTTTTGGGCTCCGAAAGCATACAAATTTCTGCAGTCGGTAATAACGCTTCTTGAATCATATGTTTAAATTAAAAATTAAATCGATGTCCCCCCGCTCTCTTTCTCTTTAATTTCTTTTAGGTTTTTCTATATCCAAAAATAAAAACTTGTTAACGTGATGCGTACAATATCTACGATTTATGATATACTTGTACAAGATTTATTTTATACAGGATCTTAAGAAAAAAATTGTTCAATTTTATTATTCGTTAGGTGATATCTTGGGTCCCAGTATCCCGAACTTGGCAAACTTAATAAAAATGCCATTTGGTTGTGGCGAGCAGAATATGCTGAATTTCGTACCGAATATCGTCGTTTTAAATTATCTGAAGGTATTAAGATAATCTTTTCTGTTATATGACACATACACCAACATGTAATTTAAAAAATTCTTTTTTCCACAGAATACAAACCAATTAACGCAAGCTGTGCAAAGCAAAGCTTTAAAATACCTGGACACCGGCTATCAGCAGGAATTAACTTATAGACATACCGATGGCTCTTTCAGCGCGTTCGGTATGTCGGATCCTAGCGGGAGTACATGGTACGTGCGCGATGAGATTATTGCATATTCTTTAACAATTTATATCTGTATACATCGAGATATTTAAATCTTTATATCTTAAGAATTAATAATGTAAATCACTTCATACATAAAATTATTTCATTCACCAGGCTTACAGCCTTCGTAGTGAAATCTTTCAAGCAAGCGGCGGAATACATAACGGTCGAGGATAGGATCATAAATGAAGCCTTGGAGTGGTTGTCGAATAATCAAGCATCGAACGGCTCCTTCCCCGAAGTGGGAAAGGTCAGCCATCGTGATATGCAGGGTGGAGCTGCAAAGGGACTCGCTCTAACGGCGTACACGCTTATCGCTTTCCTTGAAAACGAGGTGAGTGCGATCATTATATGTATATACAATATCGTTTTCTCTCTTTAATATTATTATTGTATTTAAAATAAAAATTACATTTTTGCGATGATTAAAAAATATCGTAATACGATAAACAAAGCTGTCGACTACATCGTTCGTAACATGGAAGGATTAAACGACACGTATGCATTGAGCTTGTGCGCCTACGCCTTGAATTTGGGGAAGCATCCATACGAGACGTCCGCGTTTAATTTCCTGGAATCGATGGCTATGACAAAACAGGGTATCAAATGGTGGAGCAAAGCTATTCCAAAAGACGACAAAAATCCGCATTACTCTTTACCGCGTTCCGTCGACGTCGAAATGACATCTTATGCTTTACTCTCGTATCTCAGACGTAATCTGGTCGCTGACGCAATTCCCGTCATGAAATGGCTCGTCAAACAAAGAAACACAGAAGGAGGTTTTGCCTCGACGCAAGTAAGTACAATTATTCAAAGTGCGTGAACGCAAAATGTTATTATCTTTAATATATGTTTAATATGTTGGATAACTAAACAAAGATTTGTTCGAAATTATGTCCGAAATAATCTAGGACACCGTGATCGGACTTCAAGCATTAGCGAAGCTCGCTGAGAAATTGTCAAAGGATACGAGCTCGGTTCGAATCGCATTTAAATATGGGAGAGACGGTCAAGGATACATGAACATAAATAGCGGCAATTCTATGATACTTCAAAAACAGATACTACCCACGAAAACACGGTTCGTCAATATAACGGCATCCGGTAAAGGTTTCGTGTTGGTGCAAGTCTCCTATCAATATAATGTAAACGTGACTGGGGCATGGCCATTATTCACGTTGGATCCTCAAGTGGATAAAAACTCCAACCCCAATTATTTACAACTGTCTATATGCTCGGGGTATGTCTACCTTATTATCTCACAAATTTATCAATTTTATTACCGACAGTAAAGAAAGAAAGGTATCAGCGTTTTTAAGTATACTTGATATTCTAATCGTCGCACGGAAGAAGATAATTATTTTTAAATTTTTGATTCCCAAGTGAAAGATATGCACATACGGAAATTATAATTTAATTTAATTTAATCATAAAATAAAAAGATAGATACTAAGAATATTTATTTTCCTAATTCTTTCTTACACGATTCTATCGTTCGAAAATTATTATCAAATTCTTCATCGTCAGATTTGTTCCAACCAAAGAAGCAAACGAGAGCAATATGGCCGTTATGGAAGTAAGTCTACCTTCCGGCTTCACTGTTGACAGAGATTCTCTACCGAGTCTAGAAATATCATCGCATGTAAAACGTGTGGAAACTAAAAATGGTGACACAATGGTGGTTTTATATTTCGACAAGGTAAAATCTATATCGTAGCTTGTCAACAATAACTAATTGCCATAAATTATTTTAATAGTTTGCATAAGAATATGATGAGAAATACAATATTAAAACGTCGCGACGCTACCGCGTCACTTGATATGAAAAATCTAAAAAGAGAATTATTTATTTTATCATAGATGATCAAGGAAGAGTATTGCCCTACTGTATCCGCATTTAGGACGCATAAAGTAGCTAAGCAGAAACCAGTTCCCGTTTCTATATATGATTATTATGATTCATGTAAGTATATCATTTAAGCTCTCTAATTTGACTTAAAAAATATTTGAAAGATATTCTAAGATAAAAATAATATATAAGAGACACAAAAAATAGAGATCATAAAAAATATATTTCTATTTTTCTATGTAGCAAGAAGAGCAAGGGTATTTTATGAGGCTAGAAAAACAACTTTGTGTGATCTATGCGAGGATGAAGATTGTCAAGATATATGTGTCTCAACACCTGGCAAACAGAAGGATAATGCTACAGTATCCGCTGCGTCTCATATTTATACTTGTGTATATTTACAGTTCATGTTCTTCTCGTTTTACTTACAAGTTTTGCTTCATAAGTATTTGTAATTACGTTGTTATCGCGCGAGAATAATTATTTTACTATATACCTTAAATCTCTAACAAACTAACGTGAAGGAGCTGTATAAGTTGCGACCAAAGTACTTGTTATACAGAATATAAATTATAATCCATTTTTATGGAATATCCAAATCAAACTAACGTAAGATTTAATTACTTGATAATATTATGTTTATAATAAAACCTAATAATGTTTCTTGTTATTAGGGAAAGTTATTTTTCACATCATGAATTCCTCCAAATATGTCGTTACTCATATAAAATATTTATTTATATTTCCGACTTTGATACTACGAACGGATATAGCTATTAATTATAGCGAATATAGCTATTAATTACTACTGTAAAAAATAATTATTATCCATGATATCCTTTTTATCGTAACATATAAAAAAAGAAAAGGAAATGGTATTAATTTTGTAGCACACAAATATTATTAATGTAATGTATTAATTTCATACTTTGTCCCATATGATTTTCAAGATGATTTATATTCGACGATTTACAGAAAAATATTGAAAATAAATTATTATAATTCGGTAATTCGGTAAAATCTATAATTTTAGAACGAAAATTATAACGTTATTTTGCTATGCATGCAGAAGATCATCGTCGCTATCCGTTTGACACTGCGTGGGATCGGAAGCGTCGAACAAAAGTCTAGCCTCCTCAGTCGTATCGACCTGCGATGATAAAAATGTAAAATATACGCGGCAGCTCATAAAAAGCTCATAAAAAGATAGAAGGAAATGAACGTACTCTACAATACTGGATGCGGCTTGCACCTCTTCTGAAACTAAGCAGATTTATCCACGAACGAAAGCACGCTCTTTTCTCCGGATTTCGGAAATAAATTAAAGCGACCAACACCGCGATCACAGTTAGCACTATGCCAGCTATCGCTCCAGCTGTAAGCAAGGATATTACTTGTAAAATCGTTGCAGCAAGATAGACTGAGACAAATAAGAAAAACTGAGTAAAGTAAAATAATTTCATTTGACAAAAATATATTTCTACTAGTTTCATAAAAACAAGCTCGCCAAATGTCCTCTTAAAATAAAGTAGAAAGAATAATTGACTTTGCTTTCCCTTTATGTATCTGTCACTTTATTTAGCGTCTGGCTTTCAATTATCCAGAATCTTATCATTTTCCTCAATCTGTCTTGCCAAATTCGGCATCAACGTCGCATCTGTAATCTGATGCCATCAAAATGTATTACCGTGTTTACCGTGACTAGAAGAGACCAAGAGAATTCCGGAGGAAGGTACTTCTTCTCGATCCACATCTCGAGAATTGGCATGTTTCGCGCAGATCACTTCGGTGTGCCATTCAAATTCCGCGCTACACTGCGATTCCTATAAGTTACAAAAAAATAAAAATAAAAATGACATCGAAAGAAAAAAATACGGATTAACAATATCTACATGCGTAAATTTTATTTGGCTGTATATCTGACAACCGTCCGCAGATTATCGCTTAATCCCCCGTGACAAATTATAAGCTTTGACAATATTTTTTCAATCCATCTCTGTCGTGAACAAATGTATATTTTACGCAATGATCGATATTTCAACTGTGAAAGTTGTATGCAAGGCAAATTAATAAAAAGCAGAATACTAAAATATTTCTTGAATTTAAAGATGTGAAGAACTGTAAAGGATTAACATTATATGTGTTTCACATTTTATGTATACACACGCAATATAGCATTTTTAACTAATAATACTTTAATATCTAATGTAAATTCGGTAAAATAACTTCACATTTTGAAGATCTTTCTTCTTGTTTAATTTTAAATTTTTGAATTGAAGATCAAGTTGATATTATAAAACATATAATTAATCTCATTTTGATGTCAACCGTAATAAATAAGAAATAAAAATATATCATTTTGACAGAAAGCATAAAAATCTAGGGTATTTTTAAAAATTTTTAATAAATGATATCCATTATCAGTCTTCAAGAAATATAAAAAGGTGATTTTGGTGATCTTGGTGATTTTTTACATTTTACGAAAAACAGAAAAAAGTAATAAGATTTCAATATCTGAAACCTGAATATTTTATAAAGAAATGCCCCTCTCTTTTTCATTGATATCACATATTATATATAAAAGATTTCCATGATAGGAGCAATGTTAAAAATATTCTAAAATACTTTTCCTCTTCCATCATCACTATTTTTACCAAACGTGCATATTAATATCATCAAGATACAATCGAATATTTCGCCTTCTTGTCCAACAGATAAATGGTAATCGGATATAAGCGTATACCAAATCAAGTTTATTTAAAACAGAAAAGCATAAAACGTGACAAGCGATATGAAATATTTAAAAAAGGAAAAGATCCTTGTTATATACAAATATAATTTTATAATATTTATTTAAATTTTGATATATGGCTCGCGTGATTTTATTCTATATATATGTATATATATACACAATTTTTCCCTCTATTTCTAATGATAAGCAGAATGTTGATTAACAGAAGGAAAAGAAATGCGCGGGTGAGTGAATGAATGAGAGACTCTCTCTCTCTCTCTCTCTCTGGAGAAAGACAGAGAAAGAGAGAGAGAGAGAGAGAGAAAGAGAAAGGCAGACAGAGGGGAAGATAGAGCGGAAAGGAGAAAGAGTGGGAAGTGGGAAGATGGAAAGAGGGGAGGTCACGATCTCACAATCGGTCGATCGCTCATAATCAGTCAGTCAGGCTATGTCGGACTGCGCGGTCGTACGATCAGCTTGACAGATCTATGAGTTTGTACGTTCAAATTACATTCGTCGTTAGCTTACGTTTTCTTTTACGCCTTAAGACGAACCACATCTAAAGAAGAGAACAAAGTGCAATTAAAATAAACAAAGTGTCTATTAATTACAAACGTTGTACGAAAAATCACGTGTTGTGATATCAGAAGTGCGTGTATGTGTGATATCGTTATTAATAATTAATCACCGTTGTCTTCCGATAAAAGAGGGATCAAGGTGAACAAAGCGAGACCCGCAAATGATCGTCCAGTAACGCATCAACTACCATATTGCAAATCGGTAAGTAAACGGCGTATAGACGTCATTTCCACGAACCGGTTCAGGCACCGCCTCGCGGATGATCGTATCGTGCACAGGATCGGATTTAGTTTAAAAATATCTATTTAGTAGCGGTAGCGTTCGAAAAATAAAAAAATATTTTGTTAATAAATTCATCGTAATTTTGGCTGGCCATATAGATTCTGTAAATCTATGAATCAGTAAATCCGTGTTTCAACAGGCGGTCGTATATTTATTGTGTTTTCTGAACTTGCTACATCGTATCATTTATTTTATTTATTTTTTTTTTTTCTTTATATATCTTTTAAATTTCTCGCGAATTTACATATACGCGGAATGTGTTTTCCCTGCCTTGTCTCGTGTATTGATAGCTACGAATTCTAAAATGCAAAAAAAAGATAATGCAAACTATATCGTTTGCGTGTAGCATGATAAAGCAAGTTCATTTTTACTAATATATAATACATATATAAAATCAAAACACAAAGATCTTGAAAAATTATCCGCAACATTTTTACTGGCTTAGGAGCATTGAGTGAATCGGGCCCTGTTCTGTGACGTAAACACCCGTTCACAGAGGATCGTCAAGGACGATCCATACATCGTAAACTTTCGTTAATCGTCGTAGTTGTATTGTAGTTGAGCGACGCGGAGCAGGATGTGCCATGTCTTTATTCTTTTTTTTTCCTTTACTATCGCAAAATTTGTTGATAATGAATCGACAAAGTTTCCGCGTTTCCAAAGCTCATGATTTAGCAGCGTAATTTACGCTGGTTATTGACGCGTGCCGGGAAAAGCCCGATGTGTGATTTTACGGAACATTTATATGGCAACAAATTTCCAGCGATGCTATTTACATAATGCGAGCATAAATGAGATTCACCAGGATTCCACATGAACGGACGATGAAAGCAAAAAATGATGGAGGGCCCATCACATATCGCAAAATCGAGATATAATTACACTGCCTATAAACTTTGGATCAACATGTCTATCGATTTTTTTCACATTGATATTAACGAGAGTTAATTAAAATGTGAAATATATATTTCAAGCAATTTACAATCACGGAAAAAACAAAATTATATAATAATAGATAATATTATAAGAGAAAATTACGCCTATAAAAAAATATTACGTTTAGAGATAAATTCGTGTTGAGATAATTATATATGACGCGGAGAATGCGCATAAAAAGGAAGTTGAGAAATATCGGTATACAAAGATCATGTGTTATCATTAACATGATATCACTTTTGACGTGGAAACTGCAACAGGCGTATGCTACGGAAACACAATAAAATTTACAAGTTTGCGGAAATATTCATTGGATTGATTTATTTAGCACGGAAATAATTCACTTCTTTTTTTTTTCTTTTTTACTAAGTTTGAGATAAAGTCACTGAGATTTGATTATTTAAAAAAAATTGAGAAACTTCTTTCTAGGTATGTGAAAGAAGTGTATCGAAATCGTGAATAGTTTTATTAATAAATATTTGTGACAAAGGACGAGGAATCTTTTGCTTCATACTTTCACGTATGTATCATATCCGGTAAAGTAAAAATTAGGCCAATAAAGCCCATATTGTCAGTTTTAATAATTGTCGCTTCTGCATACCCTTGCAATTGTTGTGCTATTAACATTCTTGATTATTGTCGGAAATGCAAGTATTTCGCAGAATTGAGCAAGTGTTAAATTAATTGTAAAAATAAAGTCACCCAGAACGTTTTGTCAAGAATGTAATCTTGCGAAAGGAACCATCGGAATTTAATGGATAAAATCTTTGAGCATGTCATTTGTTTGCATGCATGCAATTTAACAGGTGTTAATATCTCATCGGTTATCACATATGTTATCAGTGATATATCAGCTAATTAGATTTTTTTTTCAATTACGATAGCATGTCACCAGTCACACAATTATGTATTCGCATAACGATAGATATTACGTGTCTATAACATATTATAAGGAAAATATGATAATATAATGATATAAGGAAAAAAACTGCGATTGAAAATATTTCGTAGAATAGTTTTTGTGAATGAGACATTATAGAAATCAATCATTGATAACGTATCATGTTCAATGTGACAGCCAGGCGGTAGCATAGTATAATATATTTATATGTACATTTATGAAATAAAAATTGTCAATGTTTTTAATTTTAATTATTTTCAAAAACTATTTAACATCCCGTTTGTTAAACCGCATTTTGTTTTGATTGCATGTGTCCTTTAAAAATCGTTCGACGATAAGCCAAAATTATCTTGTATATTTACTTTATCTATCGTATCAATATATATTTTTTT